AGAGTCTGCGGAATGGCATTGAAAATGAAAGGCAAACTTTGCATTCCAAAGCGCATGCTTTGAATCATATTAATTGGCGAAAACAATGTTTGAGTTTCCCACACACAGGCAGGCGAATGGATGAAGCGGAGCGGAGTGGAGCGGAGAGTTTCACAATTACCAGAGGACTGTATGTATTTGTAAATCTAATTAGTTTGGTGGTAGGGGAACAGGCAGAACAGAATGCAAGCCAAGTGCAGGGCGGCAGGGCGGAAGGGAGGCAGGGAGCAATTGTGGCCTTGAACTTTGAGTTTTATCTCTGCCAGAGCTGTGTGGATTTAGCCGCATCATGAAGCTGGCTTATTACGATGGAATGGAACTGAACGGAACGGAATGGAACGGAGTGTGCAATCAACTCCAATCAACTCTGCCGGCGCCTAATTGGCCGTTTGCCTTTAAAGGCAACCCGGCTTGACATTTGGCTTGACTGGTGTGTGTGTGTCTGTGTGTCTGTGTGTCTGTCGCCCACCACATCCGCTCCCGGCCCTGGTCGGTGCCCGACCCAACCCAGCATTCAGAATTCTTTTGGCCAAAAACTTGGCTTTAATCTTTACTCTACTCATTTTGTCTTTTTTGCTTCTTGGCTGGCCTGGCAGTTGGGTCGGGCCTGTGCATAACTAAGCAAAAAGTAAACAATTCAAAGAGCTTTTGTCGGAGTCAACTGCTGTTTTTCATAATCTTTACGACGACGAGGTGGAGGAGGAGGGCCAAAACTCTGGCAGGTGGATATTCCACACATATATACATATATGCACATATTTCCATACATACATACACGTGTATACATAACGATAAATATATAAATAAACACAAGAAGGGGGCCAAGTAGCTCCCCAGTTTCAGCCACGCATAAATCTCACGTGCAAATGTGGAACAAACTTCGCCTCACCTCTCGCCTCGCCTCTCGTCTCTCGCCTCTCACATCTCGCACCAGCATATCCCCATTTCAATTTGGAATATATATATGTATATCTCTCCCTGCTCATCATCACATCTCTGCAGATAGCTTCTGCATCTTCTCGCATCCCATCTCATCTTTCGTTTCATTTCATTTCAATTTCGCGTTTTGCGCTTCGCGTTTCGTTTGCTTTCCTGGTTTTCGGTTCAGCTTTAATGGGCAGCAACATGTGGATGATTAAATTTAAATTTGGTTCTGGTTCCTGGTGCGGTTTTTGAGTCTGAATCAGCGGCTGGTAACCTACTTTCTGCTCTCGAGTGATCCCAACATTCCATGGATTCTTCTCTAATGAAAAAAAGAACCTGGCGGCAGCTTAGGCTGGCCCCAAAAAAATTGCAGCCAAAACAAATAAATGGTCTGGGCTGCAGTCTGTTGTCTGGCAGAGAACAGAGCACCAAGCACAGAGAACAGAGAACATTTGTGGCCGAAAACCTGTTGGCCTCGATTGGCAGACGGTCAAGCTAACTGTTTTCGGGCTGGCTGCAAGCGCCGAACCACACGGCACCGCACGCATCCGATCAGATTAAAGCAAATAAAGAATGCCAGAATGCAAAATATCGAAATGGGTTGCCGCTGGCATGGAACGGGTTTCCAGGCAGCCACTTCTCATGTGTGTGTGTGTGTGTGTGTTTGTGTGTCCAATTGGCAAGATATATGCACATACTCGTACTCGGTTCGTTCTGCCCGTCTGTATGCATGCGGACTGGGATGGGGACTCGACTTGAGACAGTGACGGCTGTCTGAGAGAGTTTGCATCGATTAATTTGTAACGCCCACTGACAGTTTTTCGCCAACTGTCAGTCAGCCAGTCAGCCAGCCAGCCAGGTCGTCGTTTCGTCTAAGCCGCTGACCGACTTTGGCCGACTAACGAGCTACGTCCTCACGGAGAGCCACCGCCACAGCCACAGCCACATCTACATCCTGGCCAGCATAAATTAGCCATTTTGGTCAGGAGTTTAGAGCTCTTGTAGCTACAATTTATGTAGATTTATTTGTGTGTAACACTTTTGCCGGCTGCTGGCTGCCGGCTGCCGGCTGCACCATTGATATCTCTTTTCCATCGCCATAGCTGGGGGGGGGGGAAGCAGCATTCCTTTGGGCCAGGCCAAGAGCCAAACTTGAAAAATAGCTTCAAGATGTTGCCTGTTGTCGGTTGCATTCCATTTCAGAGCGGCTGCCAGTTGCCATCTTCAGCTAGAGCGGCGACTTGGACAAACGACTTCTATGTATGGCCAAATGGACACCACCCCCCGCCGTCGCACCACAATTTACTGAGCATTTTCTGCATTTTGTATGCCTCTGACAGTCCACCTCCAAAGGTGTTTCACTTTTTCGCTCAATCATGCACCGGATGATTGAACACTGAGCGGTGCATAGGCGATCTCTGATCTGATCCGATCCGATCCGCTGCCATGAGAATGGGCACAGCTCTCTCATTGGCAGTGGCCATAAATAACTGGCCAATCGATGCCGCAACTGCAAAATGCAAATGAGTGAAAGAAAAATATGCAAAACAATTAGCAAAAGAAAAACCGAAACCAAAACCAAAACCGAAACAGTAACAGAAATAGACGTAAAGTAAAGTGAAATAAAGTAAAGTAAAGTGAAGTAAAGCAAACGGTAACCAAACCGCGTAACAATGCGGGGCACCAGAGAGACACAGAGAGCGAGAGACAGAGAGAGAGAAACACGGCAGCAACATTTAGCAGCCACAGTTATGCAATTGGCCATGCTCTGCTTTGCCCCTACACCCCCTCTCCCCTGTACACCATGCACTCTTCTGCCACCGCCCCCAGCTTGATGGCAATTGTTTTTTCTGCGACCGCATTGCACAAAGCCAAGATTTATGCATATTAACGTCTAGTCAAAAATGCTGACCCAAAACTGGAGACCCCCAGAGCAGCAGTGGCAGGCAGCAGTGGCAGCAGGCAGTTGCAGGCTCTGGCAGAGGCATCATCTCCACCAGCTGATGCAGAAATCAAGCGTGGCAGCAACAGCAACAGCAGCAGCAGAGGCGGCTTAAAACGCCGGCAACACTTAACAATGGGTCAACTTTCCTTGGTGTTGGCGTTGATAAATGTGAACCGAAAGCTGCCCCAAAACTGTGGCAGCAATGCTATCGTTTGTTATTGTTGCAGTTGCTGTTGTTGTTGCTGTTGTCATCTTCATTGTTGTCTTAGTGGGTGTTGCCGCATTCGCTGTCAGCAGCAGCAGCAACCGCAGCAGAAAACAGGAAAGAGCAAAGCAGCAGCAGCAGCGGCAACACTTTCCCAATTAGGCGTTTAAATACGTGTTTTGGGCCCACAAGTGACACACATATATACACACACTTATAGCCATATACAGAAGTTAATGGCTCAAAGACATAAAGCCTGTTACATGGTTAGTGTTTGGCTGCTGGCTGTAAAGTGGTGCAGTAGAGACGCCCCGACTTGGCGGCAGATCTCGGGAGATCTTGCGGAACAAATGCGATGCTCAACTTGGAGAAATACGATGATATGGCCAAGCGAAGAACATCAAAATTCAAAGCTATACTCCTACCAAGTATCAGCCAAAGAACTGCGCTCTAGAGCCATCTTCAATGGCTCCAATTTGAATAGATGCCCAGCAGAACTTATCTACATCTCGGGCACATCTATTCTACTATAATTCGTTGGAGTACTTTAAGATCTTGCAGATGATAGTGCCTACGAGAATTATCCCACAGCATGGAGCCATATTTGGGGGTATCCAATTTACAGAGCTCTGCAGCCAGCCAGGCCATAATTTGGTGGCAAATAATTAGATCTTTCCATGATATACCTACACCCGAAAATCCCACAGAAGTGAGCAATACTTAGCAGTAGATACGAAATAAACAGACATGAATTGTGGGAGACAGAGACAGCGACCAATTTGATGATTTAATCACAGAATAAGCGAGCACAACAGCTGCTCCACATTTAAGGGAACAGATGCCATGCCCCACAATAGTAATCAAAAAGGAACACACATTTCCCCCATCAAAGATAGCCACTTAATATAATTAAATAATTAAATGCGTTGAGCTTTCAAGAACTATAAGCAAAACATTCCAGCTGCCTAAAAGATGACTAAGAAAGCAATCAGAATTTATTATTATTGTTTGATTCGCCCAAAAAGGAAACCTGTTTGCCTTTGCAGTTATTTTCTAGCATCTCTAGCAAAATAAAGCCATCAATTATTCCAGCTTTCTGTCTGTCTGTTTGTCTGTGTGTTTGTCTGTGTCTTTGTTGATTTTCTTTGAATTTCCTTGGTTTTTTGTGCATATGTTGCATGTGGCATGGCTTGCATGCGGGCTTGGGGCTTAGAAAGTCATTTGCAGGCAGGCAGGCGACAAAATCAAATGCAAACATTGGCAGACGAGAGTAACTCAGAGTAACTAACACAAAACAGCCAGCGATTACACAACACAGGGCTGACATCAGCTGTGGTGGGGAGGGTGGGGTTGGGGCAAGACTGATGGATGTGACAAAGACACAGTTAATTATGAGTCTATTGCCATCCTTGCCAAATCAATACAAGCCATAAATAGCAGGAAAACAAGCCACGAAGTCTCTCAGTCTCTTTGCAACATCATCGGCATTTTCAGCAGCAGCAGCAGGGGCAGCAGCGGCAGCCATGGCAAAATTTCAATAATTCCATTATCAAGATGAAGATTGATTGATAAGTTGCCTGCCCAAAATGGCTGTCAGTGTCAGTGCCTGGCCTGGCAATGATTTTGGCTGCTGGATGCTGAATGCTGGATGACCACATGGACCACCAATGAGCCAGCAATTGCCGAACAATCTTTGCCTTGGCTGTTGCCCAATCGATATTGAGTCATGCGGCGGCAGTGGCCGAGGAGAGTGAAAGTTAATTGAGGACCTGTGCAATACGTGTATTTGCTGAAAGAAAGTTTAGTTTAGTCAGGCTTTAAGTTTATGAGCCAACAAACGACGACTCACAACTCACGACTGTTTTTCTCTCTCTTCTCTTCCTGCAGAATATGGCCTAAGGTTGTGCGAGAGCAACCAGCCACAACTTGCACAACAGCATAGCAACACAGCAGCAACATGTCGTCCTCGATTTGCTCACACTTTACGCAGAACGCGTGGAAGAAGGATCTGTGCTCGAACTGCTTCAAGTCCAAGGACGAGCACAAGGCAGCCGCAGCAGCAGCCGCCTCCAAGCTGCTGGGCGCCAGCAGTCACAAGCAGCCAGAGGTGCAGCCCAAAGCGGACTACCCCAACAAGCACAGGACACCGGCCAAGAGCATCATCAAGAAGGCCTTTGGGGTGCGGCTGACCAGCAGCAGCAGCGGCAGCAACTCCAGCAAGTCCAGCGGCGGCAGCCACAGCAGCGCCAAGAGCGGCAAGGTTTGCTTTCCCAAGCAGCTGCACGAGATCATTGGCTATGGGGGCGAATGGTCGGACGACGATGACGACGATGACGATCATGACTTTATGAATCTGGGCAACGAGCACGATGACATGGCCATCACGGAGACGGACGACGAGGAGACCGTGGAGCTCAAGCGGATTACGCGTGCCAACACCGACTTTAACATGAACAATGGCAATCTGCTGGGCGATGCAGAGGAGAACATTAAGAAGTCGTTTGCGGCCCTCAAGCTGGGCGCACCCCAGGTGGACAAGGAGGGCAAGAAGCAGACGCTCACCATCAATGTGATGCCCTTCGGGCAGCCCCTCAAGGGATCAGCAGCCAAGGCAGCGCCAGCAAAGGTTGCTCCACAGGAGAGCAAAGCCACTGCAGCAGCAGCAGCATCCGTGACAGCTGCCACCACAAAGGCCAAGACGGCCACAATTACCACAGCCATCAAAAGCAGCAGCAGCAGCAGCAGCACAGTAACAGGCACAGCCAGTGGCACCAAGAAGGTGACCACCACCCTAACGCCCACGCTGACCATGACCAAGGTGACGCCAGCAAAGGGAACAGCAACAACAGCAACAACAGCCACCTCTTCGCGGGATGGCAAGGCCAGTCCGCCCATAGAGCGAGCCATGGAAAAGTCGCTGCTGGACGAGATCTCCGAGACGCTGGAGCAGAAGCAAAAGCAGAGCGAACAGATCACAGCAGCCGCAGCCACAGCCACAGCCACTGTTGCGCCTGCGGGGAGCACCTCAACTGGGGGCTGCAACAAAATCAAATTCGAGCTGAACGCACTGAGCGACTCGCCGAAGCCATTTCTCGACCTTAAGAAGCCCATCGCGCGGAACGCGCCCATAGCCAAGGATCACGCCAAGCCACGCGTGAATGTCTGCCACAAGTACTCCGACACGGACAGCAACTGCTCGGACACGGAGAACGGGGTGTCGGCCTACTACGACGTTGTGGAGACGCAGCTGAGCTACGAGAATCTGCCCGATGGCAAGTACAGTGAGCAGGTGGGCGTGGCCAGTGCCCAGGCGGACAGCAGCAGCGCCAATACGGCCCACTATTCGAGCTCCCAGTACATCACGGACATGCTGCTCAGCTCGAAGACGCGTGCGGCCAGCTACAATCTGCACGAGGGCAACTTTATGACCAGCAAAATCACCTCCGACGGCCTGATCGTGACCAAGTGCAGCTCGGACGATGCCCTCGACTCCACCGGCAGCAGCTTCGACGGCAGCTCCGACGAGGAGAACGCCTACAACATGATCCGCAGCGAGTCGGACTCGGGCATTGGCATCAGCATCGGCAGCGAGTACAAGAATGCGGGCGGCGCCAAGGGAGCGGCCGCCGGCCAGCTGCTGGTGGAGAAGAAGCTCAGCGCCAGCACCAACAACTCGGACTACGAGGACATACAAATCGGAGACCAGGCGGCCCCCAAGCCCCAAGCGGCCAAGAGTCGAGAGCTGCACGGCGAGCCCGATGGCAGCGCCGATCCGGACAACAGCCTGGAGCAGAAGCAACAACAGCAGCAGCAACAGCAGCAGCAGCAACAAAAGGAGAAGGAGACGGAGGCCAGTGGACAGCAGCTGCCAGCGCTGCCCAAGTCGCCGCCACCGCCCATGAAGATGGATGCCCGCCCCTCGTTTCTGCATGGCCTCAAGAAGCCCGAGCTGCCGGTCAAGCCGCTCGTCAGCAGCAGCAGCAACAGCAACAGCAGCAACAATATTGGTACCGGGGGTCTGAGTCTGAGCACTGGGAACACGCCGCTGAAGAGCTTCCTGGTGGGCAGCAAACGGCAGCCGACCTGCGCCGAGCAGCAGTTCATCACGCAGCTGCAGTCGGCCATCTCCAAGTCGAGCGAGAATCTGCTGCTGGCCGCAGCTGACTCAGCGAAAGATGCGGAGGCAAAGCTAAAGAAGGGCAAAGCCCCGAATCCGCCGCCAGAGCCAAAGCTGAGCGCACCGCCCACGCCGGAGCGCGACTACAGCCTCGTAGTTGAGTTCGAGCAGGCCTCGAAGGTGGCCGCATCGGAGACATCGCCAGCGTCATCGCCCCAGCCAGCGGCAAAGGCCACGTCAGCCGGCACCGGTGAGACATCCACCAAGGAGACTCAACCTCAGCCACAGCCCACTGCGGTTACAGGTGGCTCCGGCTCATCCGTAGCAGCAGTAGCGGCCATCAACAGCAGTCTGTACACGAGGAAGCCACCGCTGCCGGTGGCCGGAGCAGCGCCCGTCATACGGGAGAAGGACAAGCGCGAGCGGGCTGTCATCAATCCCAAGTTCCGCAGCCTCAACACCTTCGTCATGCAGCGGGCCAATGCGGCCAAGCAGCTGCAGTTGCAGTCCGCCAGCTCTGTGGTGAATCTCAAGCAGCCACTCACGCCGGAGCCGACGCCGCGCAACCAGCGGCACCTGTCCATGTCCGAGGAGTGCCTGGCCGCCGCCGTCGGACTGGCGGACAGCAAGAAGTCGCCCTCGCCGCCCCAGAAGCAAAAGTCCAAGTTCTCCATCAAGAAGTTCCTTCGCATGGGCAGCAACGGGGGCAGCAAATCCTCGGATCCGCTGCACAAGAAGGACTCCAGCGTCTACACGGAGATTTGCACGGGCGACGACGGCAGTGTGCCCGGCAAGCCGCGGCTCGTCATCATCCATCCGATCGACATCAATCCCACGGCCGTGGAGGTGGTCAAGGACATCACAAAGACCAGCGAAGCGGTGTCCGCCCAGACGGTGGCCGTGGTCACAGCCAAGCCACCGGCACCGCCCCTGCGCGCCAGCGAGGGACAGCGCGCCCATGAGGCCAACAAGCCGGCACGCCCACCGCCGCCCAAGAGCGCCGAACTGCGACGCAAGCAGAAGACCGAACTGACGGCCACGCTGAGTGGCAGCAGCGTGGACTCCGCCGCCACCACCATCGGTTCCATGAAGCTCAAGGCCGACAATGTCTATGCCAATTTGGGTAAGTGTTGCACGTGGCACAGGGGTTGTTCTAGGGCGCAATTGGGGCACGGCACACTTGAAATTCATTGAAATCTGAAATCTAAAATCTAAACGAAATCTGACCCAAATCCGTGATGTGATGTGATGCGTGGGCGGGCAGGCGGGCGGTCTGTGCCGTAAATAACGAACGCATTCCAAAAGAAAGCGTAAGCAAATCACGTTCAGAAATCAGAGCTTCGAGCGACCTTCAAAATGACACGGGGGGGAAAGAGGCAAGCCTGAAGGGTCTTCACTTCACCTACTGGCCGCACTTTTGGGGGCAACTACTTGTTGACTCCAATTGCTGCAGGCCAGGAGTCTCCCCCCGAACACGAAACCAGAACACGAATGAAATCACCTTTTATGGTAAAAGCAGGCAGGGGCCAGCAGGCAGCACCTCATCGACATCATGGCTGAAAGTAGAACCCAAAACCAAAACCAAACTCAGAACAAGTTACGCATTTTAATCAATATAACGGGCACACACCGAGGGGCACACACACACAGACAGACATACACACAGAGAGCCACTTATGACCATATCCGCCACATCCACATCCACATGATGAGCCATGGAGCCATGTAGCCATGGTGCCAGCCATTTACCCGGCTTTAACTGGGTTAAGTGGCCAAAGCCAGAGAGCAAAATAGTTTAACAGATGAGCGCTCCAAACAACAACAGCAACAAAAATCGAAATGAAAATAAGTCAGAGCCAAAGCCAAAGCCAAAGCTAAAGCCAAAGCCAGTTCCAGATCCCAGCCAGGTTTTAGGCCAGGTTAGACCAATGAGCTAACCACATGTTGATGGGAGACCATGACAGAAAGAGAGTTAGAGAGAGAGAAAGACAAACATTAGAACTGGTGAAACTGGCGGGGACCAGAGACCAGAGACCGACCCATTTCTTACCGCCTGACACTTTGCGGTCAGTGTGAATGCGGCAAGAACTTGTTACACCTGCTGCTGCACCTGGCAGCCAGTTGCTGGCTGCCATTTGTTAGCCATCTGATAGCCAACTGCCAGGCTGTGCGAATTGTAATTTGGCACGAATTTGGGTCAAAATCGCAATTAGTACTCAAAGGTTGTCTAGCAAGTACGCGGCTGGGCAGATCTCTTGGTGAGAGGTGCGGAGAGGCCACAGAGAAGTTATTTGTTTGATTTTCCATAGCTGCTGACTGCCAGCAAACATTTGGCACTGCCACAGAGCCAGAGCTAGATTAAAATATAGAAAAATGGAGTAACACTGCCAATACCTTTGGAGTAAAGAAAGACTTGAGCCAATAGAAAATCCAACTCTCTTGACAGCTTGCCAATAAACATTTTCCATGTGTTCTATTTTCGTTTAGGGGAAATCCGCTCCTCGATAGCGCCACGTAAGCCCGAGCGTACGGCCAGCATGCGGGAGCGCGAGGCGCAGCTGGAGCTGGTGCGGAAGCGCGTCATACTAACCGATACTATCTCCATTTGCTCGTCAAACGGTGAGAATGTAGCAACGGATTCAACCAAGTCGTCGCTCAAGACGAACAACCATGGACAGGAGGGTGGGGGAAAATCATTGAATGTGACACCCACGGCGAACAGTCGGACGAGCACCTTTGAGCGGCAGCCGCAGAAGAAGAGCGAACCGAAGATGTCCATTTCCAGCAAGCTGGAGATCTTCGAGCAGCGGTCCAGCGATGCCACGGACACGGCCGCACAGCGCAGCAGCCTGAAGGATTCGGTGCGCAAGATCAACAGCACCATCGACAGCTATCTGAAGGACAAGCGCGACTATGAGAACCTGTACGAGTTCGTGAAGATGGGCAACGGCAGCCCATCGCCCCAACCCCCCACGGGAGCCACTGCACCGGCCGCAGCAGCGATACCACCGCCACCGCCCACACGCACCAACATCGATCTGGCGGCAGTGGCTGGACAGCGCCTAAACCAGGCCACACGACGCAACAATATCTACTCGGACACGGCCTCCATAGCCAGCTACACGCGCAGCGAATACGGACCCGTGCGCCACTACGGACTGAACAACAGCTTGGGTAAGATGCTGGGATCCTTTTTGCCATTTTGTTTAGCGGTAATAACGCCAGTCTCTCCGCTAGCCAACATTCCACGGATGATATCTGCATCGTATGCGGGCAGCGAGGTGGGAGAGTTCGATATCTACGCGCCGTACAGCTACTACGGCAGCGAGGCGGGCGGCGATGTGGCCACAGACATCAACGACAGCGTCTGGGGCATGCCACAGGTACGTGAAATTAAAGCAATTAACCGATTCGCATAGCCTTACCATAGGATTCGGTCTTTTTGTGCTCGGCAGGCAAACAAGAACCGCAGCAAGGCCACGAATCGTTTGCGCATGCGCAAGGGACGCAGTGTCGTGCACAAGACCATAGAGGATAACTACACCGCCGTGGTGGTGGCCAATCACGAGGCCCTCGCCCAGGTGCTCGATCAGGTGAGCATATCATATCTTTAGAGGTTTCCTTAGAGGACATTTTAATCCAGAAACTCTACTCAACCCCCTTGCTGCAGCTTCAGCAAACTCCAGTGGTTCCAGCGGCACTGCGACCTCTGGCCAATGCCATCAACTTGCGCTACGAGGACTTTACCATACTGGAGGGTGCCCAGGCATTTGTGGTGGGCAAAAAGGCCTTCCATGCGGCCCTCTGGACCTCATCGCCCGTTACCCTCGCCCTGTCCGCCGACTGCAATCAGCTGTCCGGCGTGGGTGGCGAGCTGAGCCAGTTGACCGGCGGCGTCAGTGAAGTGCTCAATCCCATAACCGAGTTCTGCGATTTGGTGCCCAGCTACCAGCTGCCGCTGATGCCCTCCACCGAGGTGACCCTGCTGCAGGCCACCATCTCGGTGCTGCCGCGACTGCAGCTGGAGACGCTGCAGTCGATCGGGGCCATACTCAAGGGCAAGTCGCAGGTGCTGGACAAGAGCAACTTCAATTTCCGCGGCTCCATTCCGAACCTGAGCGGACTGAAGGATGCGGCCGCAGGCAGCGCCCTCAGGAACGTGGTCTCTGTGCAGAATCTGAGCACGCTGAACGAGGAGTCCATAGGCACGACCAGTTCTGGCGAGGAGGGAGCGGCCAGTGCGAGTGCCATGCCCGCATTTGACGACGTGATGACGCGCGAGGTGGCCTTCATAATGCTGCAGCTGGTCAACGGGATGAAGAATCTGCAGGCCAAGGCCATTGAGGAGACGCCGTTGAGTCTGTCCAATGTGGTGCTGTCCAAGGACATGGACAACAAGGATGCCCAGGCGCGTCTCTGCGTGCTGCAGGGGTAAGTCCACGTCCACTAGTTACCCCCTTGAAATACTGATTGATCTTCTGCCCCACAGCAACAACAACGAAGATGATGAGCCCATGGGCACGCTCTGCAAGTGCGCCCACTCCGCGCTGACCGACATGCTGCCCGCCACCAAGATCACGCCCATTCTGGCGGACATCCTGCAGCAGGAGCGTGCCGAATCGCTGTCCAAGGCCAAGTCCGTGCTGGAGTTTGTGCTGTGGGGACCCTCGGACGTGGCCCTGACGGGCTCCGTCAAGGAGCGAGAGCTGGCCCTGCAACGCTGGCTCGATCTGGAACGGGCCACCGTCCTCCATGGTCTGGTCCGCACCCGGGTCGAGCTGACCGTCTACGACGAGTGTCATCTGATGTTCCTCGTCCGTTCCACTGCCAAGATGATGAATGATGCGGCCAAGATTGTCTGCAGCTATCAGCAATCGATCGCGTCGGTTAGCCAGGACTAGGACTAGCTACCGATGTTCCAGCTAACCCAACTCAATTCTTAAAGGAATTTTCTTATATTTATTATACGAAATTGTCATAGACATTTAGTCCCTAGAGTCAACCACATGATATATCATGATAAATATATACGATAAACGATATAATGGATCCACGATAATCTACATACATACTACATACTACACATATACATATATATCTGTATGTATCATCTGTATCTTTGCCTAGCGTGCCAAATTGTTTCGCGCGGAAATTGTCATGTATAAACATATATATATCTATATCTATATTAAATGCATCCCTAAACGATTTGTGCAACTTTAATTAATTTGTAAACTAATAGTAAGTCATTAATCTATACGAATATTTATGTATTACCTACATATACATATCTCTATGAATTGCATATTATGTACGAGTTTGTACGAGAGTATAATTACGAGTAATTTGGTTAGAGAAACAAATCAACTGGTGTTTGAACGAATATAAATACATACATACACACACACACATATATATCATCTATATATGATTTACTGTATATCCATATTGGTCTGCTCTGCAGATAAATAAATGAATTAATTAAATCCCAATTAACATGAATTATTATTTTATTTGAGCGCGTACTCTTGATATCCTTTTAATCCAATGCAATGCAGCCACGTAAATTATATACTTATATTCTTGATCTGGATGTACAGTCCTTCTGGTATATATTCCTCTCTTTTTCTAGGCAAAATAGTCTCTCAGTCTTCCATTGAAATAGGCGAGATCGAACGACAATGATTGTGGCATGTGGCGTGGCGTGTCCAATGATATTTTGTTCGTTTAGCTAGAAGTGTACATAAACTTTAGCGGATACTAACTACTCATCCTTACAAACATTAAATATAATACGGTTTAGCGTGGTGGAATGCAAAGCTTTCCTTTCCCCACAATTCTGATTCAATTTCATTAAAGTGGTGTGATCTCTTGGTGAGTTGTGTAGAAACTGTAATGGTTAGCCTGAGAATTTCTAGTCACTTATTCAGCTGATTAGATTATATATTTTGCTAGTCATCGTGACACTCAAACATTTGCTAGTGAATGATAGGGTATATTTTATACGCCTAATTTTATACATTTTGTAGTTTAAAAAATTGTGAGATTTAATTTAATAAAATGAATTGGATTGGAAATAATTAATTGGATAAAATGATTTATCTTTTAAAAATCGAATGGAAAAAGCTCTTACAATAGCAGAAAACATAAAATTAATTGCTGTGATAATAATTATATTATTAATTAATAGGCGAAAAAACATCACAATAAATAGTTGGTGTTGATTAATCTTTTTTTTCGAATCCTGTAGCATGGTATTTCGGAATAGCATTCAAAGCAAACAATGATTTTCTGGCGTACTATTTATGCGAGCTTTGCAACCATTAGAGCTTCAAAACGATGCACTTATGATACAAAAAATGTTGGTAAAGAGTAAACCTAAGTCGATATATTTTTATTTTACTTGTTGTGATGTCAATTTGTTGCCGTACTTTTTTGTTTATTTTCCGCAAACATTTTAAATTAACGGAACGCTCATTCTGCGGCATTAGTCTTTATTTGGCTGCGAACGAGTAGAGATAATAGAAGAGCAAAAATATGTTGAAAATCCGTAGTGGTATTGCCGTAGCTCACATTCAAAATGCGGTCGTACCTCTCTGTGGCCAACAGGTTAGAGGATAAAATTGATTAGAATCTTCCCTCAATCTTCATATTTTCCAGCGCCGTCAGACCACAGCTGCTGCAGCTGCAACCCGAGACGATGCAGAGTGGCAGCAGGCGCGTCCGTTCAAAAGTGTTCCTCGACCCAATATGATGTCTCTGATACCCAAAATGTTCATGCCTGGTGGAAAATATAAGAACATGGACCTGGCACAGTTGATTATGGCCATGCGCGAGGATTATGGCAACATTCACTTTGTACCAGGCATAATGGGAGGACCGACAATCTTGAGTACACACAACCCAAAAGATTTCGAGGTGGTATTCCGGAACGAGGGCACGTGGCCAAATCGGCCTGGCCTGGACACTGTTATGTACCATCGGCAGACGTACAGAAAGGATTACTTTCAGGGTGTTGAGGGTGTCGCACCCACACAAGGAAAGGCATGGGGCGACTTTCGATCGATTGTAAATCCAGTCCTCATGCAGCCGAAGAATGTGAGGATTTACTACAAGAAAATGTCGCAGGTCAATCAGGAATTTGTGCAGCGGTAAGCCATTCCACAAATATTCTTGTTCAAGTGCTAAAGTAATGGGTTTCCATTGAAAGCATCAAGGCCATCCGTGATGCCAGCACTCTGGAGGTTCCTAATGACTTCATAGACACCATCAATCGCTGGACCCTCGAGTCAGTCTCCGTCGTGGCATTGGACAAGCAGTTGGGACTGCTCGAGGAGTCGGACAAAAAGATCGAAGCCAGAAAGCTTTTCCACCTCTTGGAAGATTTCTTTAAAATATCTCCTGATCTGGAGCTGAAGCCCTCGGCCTGGCGCATAGTCAAGACGCCTAAACTGATGAAACTGATGAGCATACTCGACTCTATTCTGGACATAACATCGGCATACGTTGATGAAGCCATAGAGCGGCTGGAGAAGGAGGCCAAGGAGGGAATTGTCCGCCCGGAGAGTGAGCAGAGTGTACTCGAAAAGCTGCTCAAGGTCGACAAGAAAGGTGGCCACGGTTATGGCCATGGATATGCTAATGGCCGGAGTGGATACGGTGCGTAGTCTGCAGATTACAGAATGGACAAATAATGATATTAATCTTTCTTTTTTCTAGACTTCGAGTACATTTACAGCGGCCTTGCTGTGCCTTGCCAAGAATCCGGAGAAGCAGGCCAAACTCCGAGAAGAGGTGATGAAGGTTCTGCCCGACAAGGATTCCGAGTTTACGGAGGAGTCCATGAAGAACGTGCCATATCTACGTGCCTGCATCAAAGAGTCCCATCGGATGTACCCTCTGGTAGCTATGAATGCCCGAGTCCTCAATCGGGATAGCGTTTTGAGTGGATACCAAGTGCCAGCGGGCACCTGCATCTCAATGGTTCCCCTGGGCTTGCTATCAAGCGAAGAGCACTTCCCAAAAGCTGATGAGTTCCTACCAGAACGGTGGGTGCGCAACGCCACAGACGCCAGCGGACAGTGCCCGGCGAATGACTTGAAGCTGAAGAATCCATTTGTGTTCCTGCCCTTCGGATTTGGACCCCGAATGTGCGTGGGAAAACGCATCGTGGACATGGAGCTGGAGCTGGGCATCGCCCGACTCATCCGGAACTTCAACATCGAGTTCAATCACTCCACGGAGAACGCATTCCGCTGTGAACTGATCAGCTTTCCCAACATACCGCTCAAGTTCAAGTTTACGGACTTGCCCAACTGAATTAATATTATTCCCAAATGGATTCGAGGTATTTTGTGATCAATTAAAAGTTGCAACCAAATAAAGCTTTATTCCTTCTTGGAAGTGTTTATTTAATGGTACAAAAGATATATAGGTACGGATGTATTTTGTTTAGGTTATGTTTAAATTAAGTGTTTGATTAGATTATTTATTTGGAAATATCTAATATAATTTTATATTTGCCAGCTGTGGCAGATCTACATCGGGATATATTCGTAGGTATATTCATATCTACGCTCTATCTATATAAATTATATTTGAACTAATATAAATACGTACAGGGAGACATATACATATATACATACATATATACATGCATACGGGCATATCAATGTTTCCCTTAGTTTGCGGGCAGATAACAAAATATAAAAAAATCATTAAAGATTAGTTTGTTTGTATTATTATCAGGGCCGAACTTTGTCAAGTCTACCATCAAATTCATGCCAAATCAATTAAACTTGGCCAACAAGTCTGATGCAATGGGTACCACCAGAAGCATGCAAATATCGAAATTGTTTAATAGCTTTGAGAGTTGTATTGAATTTGTTTCGATTAAGAGAGTGAAAATGCCAATTTATTTGTTTTATTTTCTTCAGTGTAAAATCAACGATTATATTCTATTTAATATTATAGATTTAACGATCTTTATTTCAACCATTTCCAAAGTGATATCTTCGAAAGATTGCCAAGCTCTAACAATATTAGAGCATTGCTTTACTACCAGTATATTCGGTATAAGGTATTCCATAGTCGATCCAATGACAGTATATATTTCGTAAATATGGTGTACGAGTGTGTTTACAACATGAACCCTATTTGGTATTCGCGCGCTCCCGCAAACCTGTTTTGGCGCTCTCTCTTGTTCTGTTTATGCGCTGTTATCATCCAAATTGGCAGCAAAGCTCTCGCTGGTCTTTGGAATATGTAGCTGGCTAATGGAACGATCAGTTTAGTTGTGTCAGCTAACCAAATAAGTTCCCAACAAGCAAAATGCTGAAAGTACGCAGCGGGCTATCTATAATTCAGACGCAAAAAGCGGCCCCCTCTATCAGTTGTCAGCTGGTAAATATTCATACATATATTGCTGATATCACAGCGAAATAACCATTTGAATCTTCTGCAGCGTTGGCAGACAACTTCTGTTGCAGCAGAGCCCAGAAATGATGCTGAGTGGCTACAGGCTCGTCCCTTTGAGGAGATTCCTCGGGTGCCATTGCTATCTACCATTCAGAATTTTATGCCCGGAGGAAAATATACCAAATTGGATATTGTAGATTTGTTTAAAGACATGCGCGAGGAATATGGAAACATATTCTATTTAAAGGGTATGATGGGAGGCCCGTCATTCCTGAGCACACACAACCCCAAGGATTTCGAGGTTGTATTCCGAAACGAGGGCGTATGGCCCCAACGGCCTGGCAGCGAGACTCTTCGGTATCATCGGAAAACGCATAGAAAGGATTTCTTCCAGGGAGTCGAGGGGATCATACCCACTCAAGGAAAGACCTGGAGCGACTTTCGAACAATTGTAAATCCTGTTCTCATGCAGCCAAAGAACGTGCGGCTTTACTATAAGAAGATGTCCCAAGTGAACCAGGAGTTTGTGCAACGGTGCGTATGACTTCAAGTGAGTTCCATTTTATGCTCAAATGAGATCTGCCCTGATCACAGTATCAAAGCGCTCCGTGACGTCGACACCCTGGAGGCTCCTGATGATTTCATACACATTATAAATCGCTGGACGCTGGAGTCTGTTTCTGTGGTGGCCCTGGACAAGCAGCTGGGACTGCTCAAGGAGTCGGTCAACAATGACGAGGCCATGAAGCTCTTTAAGTACCTGGAAGATTTTTTCGTACTTTCAGCCGATCTGGAGATAAAGCCCTCCATCTGGCGGTTCGTTAAAACGCCCAAGCTAATGAAACTAATGAAGGCTCTGGACGGCATTCAAGAAGTAACCTCAGCGTATGTAGATGAAGCCATAGAGCGTCTGGAGAGGGAGGCCAAGGAGGGAATTGTCCGCCCGGAGAGTGAGCAAAGTGTACTCGAAAAGCTGCTCAAGGTTGACAAGAAGGTGGCGACGGTTATGGCCATGGATATGCTAATGGCCGGAGTGGATACCGTACGTAGTCTGCAGATTACAGAATGGACAAATAATGATATCATTCTTTCTTTTTTCTAGACCTCGAGTACATTTACAGCGGCCTTGCTGTGCCTTGCCAAGAATCCGGAGAAGCAGGCCAAGCTCCGAGAAGAGGTGATGAAGGTTCTTCCACAGAAGGACTCCGAGTTCACGGAGGCATCCATGAAGAACGTTCCGTATCTACGTGCCTGCATCAAGGAGTCACAGCGGATGTACCCTCTGGTCATCGGAAATATCCGAATTAGTGCTCAGGACAGCGTTTTGAGTGGATATCAAGTGCCGGCTGGCACCTTTATCTCGATGATCCCTACGGGTTTGCTATCAAGCGAAGAGCACTTCCTCAAAGCGGATGAGTTCCTGCCAGAACGGTGGGTGCGCAACGCCACAGACGCCACCGGACAGGTGCCCTGCGAATGACTTGAAGCTGAAGAATCCATTTGTGTTCCTGCCCTTCGGATTTGGACCCCGCATGTGCGTGGGAAAACGCATCGTGGACATGGAGCTGGAGCTGGGCATCGCCCGACTCATCCGGAACTTCAACATCGAGTTCAATCACCCCACGGAGAACGCATTCCGCTCCGCACTGATCAATTTGCCCAACATACCGCTTAAGTTTAAGTTTACCGACTTGCCCAACTGAAGTATTGTTTCTCCAACACCATAAAGTATATATAAATTCCTGATCAGCATCAATATTTAAGTATTTAAATATTTAAACCCATGTCAAGAATGCAGAATTTTAATCAGATGGGATCATTATTATATTCAGAAAGAAGAAACCAATTCCCCGTGGCTGGGGTATGGCGGGGTCCTTTTAAGTACGAGTTATTGAATATATGAAAACTGACTATCGGATAGTAAAACCCGAAACTGCTTTAGGGCAATGTACTGAATATCTATCTCTATTATATAAAATAATTTGGGATCGCATATTTGGGATAAATCGCAGTCCATCGAGGGCTTCTTTTGTTGCCTTTGAAACTCTCATCTGTACAATGTTTAATGTAAGTAGTCAGTGAATCAGGTGCAGTACCTAAAGATATGATATAAAATAGTTTCTGAACGTAAATTTTTTATAAATCGCGGATTATCGAGCGTAAATTTTTTGTTTTGCTATACATACAATATGTTTCGGTATTTGAACAAATCGAAACACATACGAATATGTATTAAGTATTGTGTCCCTATGTTTCTGGTCAGATAACAAATATAATACCAATAAAGATAAGTACAAGCCTTGCCAATAAGTCTGATGCAATGGGCACCACCATAAGCGTGCAAATAATGAAATTTTTTATTATCTTTGACACTTGTATTGAATTTGTTTCTTTCAAGAGAGTAACAGGAGAATCCACGCACATTTCCCGTCTGATAAGATAAACAAGTACTAGTATATTTATGTTCATATGTATATTATTAGACTATTCATATTAATAATTTGTTCTCATCAAACCAAACCACTATTCTCATTTTACGCTCACACATGCTTCAATTTATGCCAATGACATTGAACAATTTAACGAGGGTACGCGTGAGTGAATCGTTTAATTTTTTTGTTTACTCTTAGGGTATATTGTATTAATGGAGATGTATGTCTCCAACAGGGTAGTATGATGCTCCTATTCATAATTTACATATTAAGGAATCCTACTAAAAAAAAATATGCCTTAAATATAAGCTAAATTATTGTTAATTAATTTCATTGTTAATTTATTTGCTAAAATATTCAAATATAGCGACTATAGATATAAAGATATTTTAGGATGCCTCCATTTTCATTATTACTTTTTGATTACTTTTTCAGACTTAAAAATCTGAGTTAAAGGGTGCAAAATTTCGAACCATTACCAATCAGTAAAAATCTTTTTTTAAATTATAGTAAATGTTTATAATTTGATTCTGGTTTTTTGTTTGTTTCTCTGTTATCTGCACAACGGATACGCACTCCCTCGAACCTGCTTTGGCGCTCTCTCTGTTCTGTTCTCTTGTTCAAAGCTCTCACAGGTCTTTGGAATAGGAACCTAATGGAACGATCGGTCAGGGAGCGATCAGTTTAGCTGTGGCAGCCAACGAAATAAGTTCCCAACAAGCAAAATGCTGAAAGTACGCAGCGGTCTATCTATAATTCAGACGCAAAAAGCGGCCCCCTCTATCAGTTGTCAGCTGGTAAATATTCATACATTTATAGCTGATGTCACGTCGGAATATTTATTTGAATCTTCTCCAGCGTTGGAAGGCCACATCTGTTGCAGCAGAGCCTAGAAATGATGCTGAGTGGCTAAACGCTCGTCCCTTTGAGGAGATTCCTCGCACCACATTTTTCTCTAATGTTCGGAACTTTATGCCTGGAGGAAAATATAGCAAATTGGACATTATGGCATTGTTTAAAGCCTTGCGCGAGGACTATGGAAACATATTCTATTTAAAAGGTATGATGGGAGGCGATTCATTCGTAAGCACACACAACCCCACGGATTTCGAGGTGGTATTCCGGAACGAGGGCGTATGGCCCCATCGGCCTGGTGGCGATACTCTTCGCTATCATCGGGATACGCATAGAAAGGACTTCTTCCAGGGAGTGGAGGGAGTTTTAGCCACCCAAGGAAAGACCTGGAGCGACTTTCGATCCATTGTAAATCCCGTGCTAATGCAGCCGAAGAACGTGCGGCTTTACTATAAGAAGATGTCCCAAGTGAACCAGGAGTTTGTGCAACGGTGCGTATGACATCAAGTGAGTTCCATTTTATGCTCAAATGAGATCTGCTCTATTCACAGTATCAAAGCGCTCCGTGACGTCGACACCCTGGAGGCTCCTGATGATTTCATACACATTATAAATCGCTGGACGCTGGAGTCTGTTTCTGTGGTGGCCCTGGACAAGCAATTGGGACTGCTCAAGGAGTCGGTCCAGAATGACGAGGCCATGAAGCTCTTCGAGTGCCTGGAAGATTTCTTCGAAGTCTCAGCCGATTTGGAGATGAAGCCCTCCGCCTGGCGTTACTATAAAACTACCAAGCTGATGAAACTAATGAAAGCTCTGGACGGCATTCAGGAAGTAACCTCAGCGTTTGTAGATGAAGCCATAGAGCGTCTGGAGAGGGAGGCCAAGGAGGGAATTGTCCGCCCGGAGAGTGAGCAGAGTGTACTTGAAAAGCTGCTCAAGGTCGACAAGAAGGTGGCGACGGTTATGGCCATGGATATGCTAATGGCCGGAGTGGATACGGTACGTAGTCTGCAGATTACAGAATGGACAAATAATGATATCATTCTTTCTTTTTCCTAGACCTCGAGTACATTTACAGCGGCCCTGCTGTGTTTGGCCAAGAATCCGGAGAAGCAGGCCAAACTCCGAGAGGAGGTGATGAAGGTTCTTCCCCAGAAGGACACCGAGTTCACGGAGGAGTCAATGAAGAACGTTCCGTATCTACGTGCCTGCATCAAGGAGTCCCAGCGTATCTATCCTCTGATCGTCGGCAATGCCCGAGTTCTCAATCGAGACAGCGTTTTGAGTGGATATCAAGTGCCTGCTGGCACTTTTATCTCAATGGTCCCTACGGCTTTGCTATCAAGTGAAGAGCACTTTCCTAAAGCTGACGAGTTCCTGCCAGAACGGTGGGTGCGCAACGCCACAGACGCCACCGGACTGTGCCCGGCGAATGACTTGAAGCTGAAGAATCCATTTGTGTTCCTGCCCTTTGGATTTGGACCCCGCATGTGCGTAGGAAAACGCATCGTGGACATGGAGCTGGAGCTGGGCATCGCCCGACTCATCCGGAACTTCAACATCGAGTTCAATCACCCGACGGAGAACGCTTTCCGTGCCGCCCTGATCAATTTGCCCAACATACCGCTTAAGTTTAAGTTTACTGACTTGTCCAACTGAAGTTTTGCCTCTACTCGTATACCCGTTACTCAAGAAATATAGATACATATGTATATGTATATTAGTTTGTGTATAACATCCATTAAGTCTATATATTCTTGATCAGCATGAATAGTTTAGACTATTTATGTCTGTCCGTTTGTCCGTTATCGGGGATAAATGCCTAGATTCCAACTGCGAGCAATATTGAAAGAGATCCCTGCCTTCGTTAGCTGTCCTATCAAAATCCCTGTCCTTTCTTCACCGCATTAACCAACAAATCAACTCGTCCCTTTCGAGAACAGCGATACCAACAAGAAGGTATCGGCACCGAAACCAATTCCGGCGCTTACGTATAATTACGTAGAAAATATATTGCTTAGGTACATATAGATATAGTATATATACTAACTTATTACCGGGTATACAAGCAGAGCCCTTGCCACGACTCACAACGTTCCCGCTAGTTCAAAGCTGCCGAGTGCTACTTTGTGACAAGATGAAATTTACTAGCATATTAATGGCAAAGACCTGTGGTGGGAAAACTGCGGATCTTTCGATGTCTTTCGATTCGGCTCATCAGTTCAATGGGCAAATATTTATAATTGAATTATTTTATTCTCAAAACTCATAAAAAAATATTATATTTCAATTCAAAAATTAAACTGAAAACAGGCACCTAGACATGCCAGTCCTAGGCATTCCATAATATACCTACAAACAATATGCTCTCATTCATGTATTTAACTATGGCAGTTAACTAATTTAATTTAAATCGCTCTTTCAGTAAGACTTTTCTGCTCCTCGACAAAGACTGTGTTACTATACACATTCTGTTGTTGGCTTCTATGAGCGACTTAGCTGCCCAAAGCATTGAACAGACGAAGGAGAGTACGCAGCTCATTATATATAATTATATTATTTAATTACTAACTTCATTATTCTAGCTGTAATAAAAATGTTTTCGCTGGAACAATTGTTTAATTGTTTGTTTTATTAAAATTATAAGCCAAACATAAAATGTGTAATGTACAATGTATTTACATAGTGTTGTTTGCTACGTACACCACAAACTAGACAACATAGTGCGTATAAGATCATGGTTAGCACGTTGGGTGGGCCTCTCCACCGCCTTGGGATGGGGGGGGATCTTTCTGTTGTTCTAGTTGTTACACTCACAAGAGATTTTGTGCTAACCTGGCCGTTATTAGGTGTTGAAATTTAAGTTAAAATGCAATATGCATCGCCGTTCTGAGTCAGATGTAGGGACTCCACGTTACCCACCCAACCATGTTAACTACTGTTCATTCTTTAAGTGTTAACCCTTATGTGTTATATGTTCCTTTTCTCAATACCCCATTATAATTCCTCTACTCCATATTTCTCAAAATAAATCTTCAATATATTTCCCCAATAAATGACATGGTTTCAAAACTAAAGACTAGAATAATAGGTATATAAATCAATAAAGATGGATATGTATGTAGTTAAACGTTAATATATGAATAAAGAAAATCTTTGACAAATCATGGTGGCTTACAAATTTCGTTCCATCGCTGCAACAGGCCTGCATGCATTGACGTTCCACCTAGCTAAGAACATTAATAGTATGTACAATGTGTATGAAGTTAAAGAAAAGTGAAAGAAATCATAAAAAAAAAATAATTATATATGTATATATATTTGTATAAATAAGTAACTCCGTTTCATTCATCCATCCTTATTGTGCTCCCTTTCCAACATCCAGCATGACGATGTCCATCCAGACCCTGACCGAATGGTCCGTCATACCCGGTGTTGACTGTCTGTTGGTATGCACACGTGCGCTCGTCCGAGGTCAAAAAGGTCGATGGAAAGCACCTCTAGAAAACTTCTCTGGAGCTAGATCTTCGATCAACGATGTATATGGGCGCAAACCAAAGCAAACTTAGCCTTTAATTGGCATATAACAAAGACCCTTTCCAGAAAACACAAAATTCTATTAGTCTACATGTCACGTGTGTTACGTCATAGAAAAAATTACCTTTCGGGCTCGCAACTGGGTTTAATTCCGAAGAAAGATCTCTATAAACTAGAGCACAAATCGGCCAAGACTGCCTTAGCATGTGCACCATGCCCCTAGGAAAATCACTACGTTAGACACTTTTAAAACTTTTACCTACTTGAGGTTAATTACCTGATCGGACTAGCTATCAAACTTTTTTTTTTTTTTTTTGCCTCAATATTTTCCGATAAAAATTTTAATCACGACTAATTGCACTCAGGTTATCCCGTTAACGGACCCGAACCCCAACAAAAAAAACGCACGTGTAAAAAAATTGTAGCACTTGATGTTGAGCAACTGACCTTTACTAATTCGTTGGCACAGATCGAATGTCTAGCCTGATTCGTTTGGTTTCTTTCCCACCCACGCTTCTAAGCCGTCGTATCGTTCTAAGCTAGAGCGCTAAAGCATAAAGCTCGCTTGACCGACTAAAGCTTTCTAACGCATACATAGAGGTGCAGCTACAGTGCTGTGCACATAAATAGGTCGAAATGCAAAACGAGAAATTATGAGCCGTCACAAATGTATATGTGCAATATATTTACATATTTGTTTGTACGTACCTACAAAGTACATACATATGTGTCTTTAAAATATGTATGAACTACGATTTTTGTGGGCAACTACTACCACCAAAAAGTCTTAAAATTGTTTTTATCTTCAAAAATTGAATTTCTTGTCGGTCAAGACAATAAACATAACAATTCAAGTTCATTTCACTGCTGATAAGATGTATCAGTACGATACATACATACATATATGAACGTATATACATACATACATACATTTATGTACGAAGTAGCTTAATTCATTTAATTAACATGCTCTCATCCAAACAATTCTCAATAGTCTCACTGTTATCTTTTTACGCTCAAACATTTTTTAATTGACGCCAATGACATTGACCAATTCAACGAGGGTACGCGTGAATGAACCGTTTAATTTGATTGATACTCTTAGGGCATATTGCATTCACGGGGATTTATGCAACGGCGTATACTTATGAATAATATTATAAGGGTTTAGGATAATTTGAGCTGTGAAATGTGATCGAAGCTTCGTAGTGGTTCGTATAGCAAATCATTGTTAAACATTTCGTAAATAATAATTTTTTCGGTAATGTTTTTGATATATAAAGCATCGTTTCTTTATTTGATTATTCATTCTCCATATATCTGGAGATTTAATGCTCTTGTGATTATATTTTCACATTCCCTTTAACTATTGTGTGAGTAAATAATTAAGTAGAAGGTATGCCAAATTCGATGCAATAGCAGTCATTAATAATTTTTCTAAATTATAGTAAATGTTTACAAAATGATTCTTGTTTGTTTTTTTTTCGCGTACTCTTGCGAGTCTCTTTTGGCGCTCTCTTGTTTTGCTTGTGCGCTGTTATCATCCTATTTGGCAGCAAAGCTCTCTCAGGTCTTTGGAATAGGAACCTAATGCAACGATCGGTCAGGGAGCGATCAGTTTAGCTGTGGCAGCTAACGAAATAGGTTCCCAACAAGCAAAATGCTGAAAGTACGCAGCGGTCTATCTATAATTCAGACGCAAAAAGCGGCCCTCTCTATCAGTTGTCAGCTGGTAAATATTCATACATTTATAGCTGATGTCACATCGGACTATTAATTTTAATCTTCTACAGCGTTGGCAGACCACATCGGTTGCAGCAGAGCCCAGAAATGATGCTGAGTGGCTAAACGCTCGTCCCTTTGAGGAGATTCCTCGGACCACATTTCTGTCTACCATTCGGAATTTTATGCCCGGAGGAAAATATAGCAAATTGGACATTATGACATTATTCAAGACCATGCGCGAGGACTATGGAAACATATTCTATTTAAAGGGTATGATGGGAGGCCCGTCATTCCTGAGCACACACAACCCAAAGGATTTCGAGGTTGTATTCCGGAACGAGGGCGTATGGCCCCATCGGCCTGGCAGCGATACTATTCGGTATCATCGGGAGACGCATAGAAAGGACTTCTTCCAGGGAGTCGAGGGGATCATACCCACCCAAGGAAAGACCTGGAGCGACTTTCGAACCATTGTAAATCCCGTGCTAATGCAGCCGAAGAACGTGCGGCTTTACTATAGAAAGATGTCCCAAGTGAACCAGGAGTTTGTGCAACGGTGCGTATGACTTCAAGTGATTCCATTTAATGCTCAAATGAGATCTGCTCTAATCACAGTATCAAAGCGCTCCGTGACGTCGACACCCTGGAGGCTCCTGATGATTTCATACACATTATAAATCGCTGGACGCTGGAGTCTGTTTCTGTGGTGGCCCTGGACAAGCAGCTGGGACTGCTCAAGGAGTCGGTCCAGAATGACGAGGCCATGAAACTCTTCGAGTACCTGGACGATTTCTTCGAGCTTACAGCAGAGCTAGAGTTGAAACCCTCCGTCTGGCGGTTCGTTAAAACACCCAAGCTAATGAAACTAATGAAGGCTCTGGACGGCATTCAGGAAGTAACCTCAGCGTATGTAGATGAAGCCATAGAGCGTCTGCAGAAGGAGGCCAAGCAGGGAATAGTCCGCCCGGAGAGTGAGCAGAGTGTACTTGAAAAGCTGCTCAAGGTCGACAAGAAGGTGGCCACGGTTATGGCCATGGATATGCTAATGGCCGGAGTGGATACGGTACGTAGTTTTCAGATCCCATACTTGCCCTTAGTTCATTTATCCTTTTTTCTAGACCTCGAGTACATTTACAGCGGCCTTGCTGTGCCTTGCCAAGAATCCGGAGAAGCAGGCCAAACTCCGAGAGGAGGTGATGAAGGTTCTTCCCCAGAAGGACACCGAGTTCACGGAGGAGTCAATGAAGAACGTTCCGTATCTACGTGCCTGTATCAAGGAGTCACAGCGGATCTACCCACTGGTGCTCGGCAATGCCCGAACTCTCAATCGAGACAGCGTTTTGAGTGGATATCAAGTGCCTGCTGGCACCTTTATCTCGATGATTCCTACGGGTTTGCTATCAAGCGAAGAGCACTTTCCTAAAGCTGACGAGTTCCTGCCAGAACGGTGGGTGCGCAACGCCACAGACGCCACCGGACAGTGTCCGGCGAATGACTTGAAGCTGAAGAATCCATTTGTGTTCCTGCCCTTCGGATTTGGACCCCGCATGTGCGTGGGAAAACGCATCGTGGACATGGAGCTGGAGCTGGGCATCGCCCGACTCATCCGGAACTTCAACATCGAGTTCAATCACCCCACGGAGAACGCATTCCGCGCCGCCATGATCAGTTTGCCCAACATTCCACTTAAGTTTAAGTTTACCGACTTGCCCAACTGAAGCATTATTATGCGTTTCTTTTGGGCTTTCTTGTGATGAGATAAGATTTTCAATCGTATAAAGTTGTTTGTTGAACTATTCTGTGAGATAGAGAGAGAGCGAAGCTTGCTGAGGGAGGACAGTAAGTACGGGCCGGGGCTCCAGTCAATCCAATTTGTATTATCCTTTCCCAGCTCGGCCATCCCCGCTGCCTAGCCAGAAGAAGCCTAGGGAATGAAACAAGTTGGTTTATTTGTTTATACATTTAAAGCTATTTCATTTCCAGTTAAATACACACTCAAAATATATATATATATATAGATCTATATGTAGGTAGACATTCTAGACACTCAATACGGTATATGGTACATTTGTGGTAAACATTTTACAACAGTTTTACAGTTAAACAGCTCTTGGATTCTGGATTCTGGTTATACTCGTAATGGGGACAGGGTCACGTACTGCCAATCAATTGGATGTGGATTCGCACGATGTTCTTTTGGCCAATTTCAACAATAAAATAGTTAGTTAGTTAGCTTCTTTATTGGCCAAATGCTTGTAGAGAGTAAATATTCAAATGAAAATCATTTTATCCTTCTTAGTTTGTTAGTTTTTTTCAAGGTATACATAAAGATATATATTTGTGATTTTTCTTTTTTTTTTATCATATTTTGTTCGATTTTTACTTTGGTTTGGTCCAAATGGATATTGAAACTTTAACAAATTGGTTCTCTTGGTTTTTTTTATCGTTTTTTTGTTTTGTTTTGGTTTTGGTTTTTGTTTTTAACGCATATATTTATGTAAGTTATTATAAACATTTTCTAGAAGATTTGGAAAGTTTTTAATTGTATTTAAAATTTCCCTATTTTTATTGTATTTTACGTTAGACATTTATGAGCTGAATCTAAGAAAGTTCACACGATTTTTTTAAATATATTTTTGTATTTGTATATCAAATAAATTGGAAATCAGTCCTAAATTATGGATATGAAAAGTTTTTTTTCCTTCGACTTGCGGCTATATTTTATGCATTGGAACGTTTTTACTATATCATTTCAAGTGCCCCTTTGTTTAATATTCAAAAAATATCATCACCTTCCTAGAGCAGCCCCTACCAAAAAAAACCGCCCCCTAATACATACTACATACATATGTTTGGATACACACATATGTATGTATGTATTTATGTACATATATTGTATTGTTCGCAAACTGAATTTTTATGTTTATATTTTAATGCACAATCGATACGCAAAAATATACACAATAAAAGCATCAGCAGAAGGAATGTGGGTGTGGCACTAAAACCGAGCAACAAGAGAATGAAAAAGGAAACTTAAATCCGGCTGAGCCCGCATGTGTGATGGTGTCTGTTGGCTATGGCTGTGGCTGTTGCCTCTGTCTCTGGCTCTGTTTGTGGTGCGTGTCGGGGCAATAAAATCTAATTTGATGCAGGCAACTCCCATACCCCCAACTCACACACACACTCACACTCCTCTAATACGCACACTACACATACCACACACAAACATACATCAGAAGAGGCCAAAAAAATGTTGAAACACAAAACGAACCGAACGGAAGAGAACAAAAAAAAATGTTGCATAGTTCTGGGCTGCAGAACAAAAACCAACAAAATGCTGGCGGGACGGAAGTGGTTACAACTCCCTGAATGGAGGGGATACCAGGCTAAGTCCCAGCCCCGCACCGCACCACCACCACCACCACTTGCCCAACCACTAGCCCTAACCAACTCTTTTCACCGCAGAGCCGTTTAAGCGGGCGGCTTAGCGGCCCCAAAAGGCGTAGATAAAAGGCGGCAACAACATAACATGCAATAAAAATGTGCAAAAGGCGTCGGCAGCCCTAAGGACCCTGAGGACTACTCGTCCTCTTTGGCCTTCTCCCAGCTGTCTGCTGGCTGCCAAGGCATCGCTGAGCTCTTCCTGTCGAGTGTGTCTTTGTGCCTTTGTGTGTGTGTATGAGATGTTAATTAGGTTTTGACTGCAGGGCCGTGTTTGGGCATGGGGAAACTTAATTCGGCTGCTTTAAGCTGACCTTTGGCCATGGTGGGTCTCGACTTGACCCGCTTTGCATAGACAGGCGCCAAGGTACGAGCACTCGTTTAAGCCACCATAAATTCGAAACGACAAGGACATTAGACAGCACTCTCTTTGTTGTTGTAGCTGCTATGCAAAACAGGCAAATCAATTGTCGCGTCGCCTGCCACTGACAGGAGACCAGGGTAGCGGCAGGGACAGGGACAGGGGACAGAGACAGAGGAGGGCCCAACAAATTGCGATTGCATGTGGCGGCGGCGGCTTTTTGGCGGATTTTAAACATGTCTGCTTTGGTTTTGTGTGCAGGGGCTTAAAACTGCTGCCGACTAATTTCTGGCAAAAGTGGATCGATGCTTCATTAAATATATAAAATCATAAGCTTCGCCGAACAGGTCCCACAGCACACATAAATCAAAAACGTTTTATTGATGTCTGCGCCCGCACAGCTGCGTATACTTGATGACTTAAAAGGACAGGCCAGCAAAAGTATGGGCATGGAGATGGAGATGGGTATGGGTATGGGATGGTCAAGATGGAAGGCCAGCAGTGTGTATACATAAAAGTGACATCATTTCACGGGACAACATTAAACGAAATACATTAACTAATATGAAAGGGAGGCAGAAAGGAGCGACACCACCACATCTAAGGCTGCGGGTCGAAACGGAGACGCTGCCCCATCAATTATGAGGCGTGACCATAAACAGAAATACTAATTGTTACGGCAACTCAAAGTTCAGAGAGGGAATGCATATAAATATATGCAAATGTCTAGTCACTATCCGGTGTTCTGTGTTCAGTGTTCGGGTATTCGGCATTTAGTATTCGGAATTTCAGTATTCGCTATATGGACTATAAACCTGCTCAATATTTGCGGCCAAAGCTTGGCGTGCCCGGATTGAGCACGCGACAATAATGCGAGCTGGTCACGCAATACGGATCCTCTCCATCGTCATCCTGGTGCTGGAGCTGCTGGTGATGGTGCTGCTGCTGCTGGTGCTGGTGCTGCTGTTGCCGGCGGCGCATTGATAACGGTCATTGGCGCTGCTGGGCGTTGTTGATGTACTCGTTGTGCTTTAGCACCTGGAAAAACAAAACGAAAATACAGATTTGAGCACAGCTTTTGGCGACTTTTCCTTACCAGGTCGGCCACAATGGGCTCCTCGATCTCCAGGCCCTGCAGCGTTTGCTCGCGGCTCAAATGCAGCTCGTAGGAATCTGTGGGCGTGACAAACACCACGCGATGCTTGCGTGTCTGCAGTATATTGGCAATGACCAGCTGTGGCGGTGTTAGGTGGGAGGTGGGGGGGTTCAGAGGTTGAGAGGTTGCCATCCACTTCTGATTGACTACAACTTGACTCACCTTATGCTTGTATTTGTTGAGGCTGTCACGTGCCTTGACAATCAATAGACTCTCGTCCGTTTCCAGCTTAAAGGACACCACAAAGGCGTGCGGCACCCAGAGGCTGGCCAGTGGGGCAAGCATTTTTGGCACCAGCTGCAGTGAAATCGTTGGCGCTCCATCGCCCGATTGCATTTTGTGGGTGGGCTGCAATACACGGAATGACAGTGGTTTAGTGTTTCAATGGTATGGCCCGGCCCACGCTGCGTATGCGCGACGTGATGGGGCGCTGCCACGTAGATTGGTTTTCTGGTTGCCACTCCGCAAAAGCCACAAATGGAAAGGACACACCAGCACATACACACACACACAGGCATAAAGGCATACAGGCATACAGATACAGAATGCGGCAGACGCATACACAAGTAGCCGCCACCCAGGACAGGCAGTAAAATGTCCTTGCAAAACAAACAGTCGAGGGACGGACGGACGGGCTGTCGACTGACGATGAAATAAAAGGCCAGGGTTGCCTCTGTGGCCCCGCCACGTGCCATATGAATTACAACTAATTGAAAGCATAACTCAGCCGTAATGAGCTAACGGCATCGCCTGGCTGCACATCCGCTGCCGCTGCCACTGCCGCCACCCCAAGGCTCTGCTTAAAGCTCTTTAAAATACGAGTAAATACATATTGCACATACGCCAGCGACTTGTTGAGCGCCCTCTGCTTGGCTCTGCTCTGTCCTGTTCTGTCCTGTTTATTCTCATTAACTGAGCAGCGCCGTAAGCGGCTCTAAGCTGCTGACCATTCAGTCCTCTCTCACTCACTTATCCGCCGTACACAAAAGGCGGGCAGGAACACACGGACAGACGGCCAGATGGCCAAACGAATGAACAGGCGGACAAGGACAGACAGACGGACATGCCTAAGTAGCCGGGGACATTGTGCAAAGAGAAATGAAAAATGTAGCTCAAGGCATTAAGCCGACAACCAAAACGAAAACGAAGGCAAAGGCAGAGCAGAGCAAAGACAAAAGCAACAGTGAGAAATACATAGAAAGAGAGAGAGAGGCAAAGGACGACGGCATTGACAATTGTGGGGCTCGCTCGGGGTTTTGCTGCCTGATTAGAACTTTAAGCTTTTGAATAAAAAAAAAAAAATGTTGTGGCTCCTGCACTCTGTGGGAACAGCTAGCAGCTGTTGACATTGAATTTACCCAGCCACCAAAACCAACCACCCACCCACCCACTCTCTCTCTCTCTCAACAGTACAGTTGTGTGTTCGTGTCCCCTGCTGTCTGTGCCTGTGCCTGTGTGCCTGTACGTGTTCTTGTGCTTGTGTGCGTTCATGCATGTTTTTCTCTTGTAAAATCTTTTGATTTGATTTGCGGATTTCGGCACGTCGCCGCTTTTGTCCTGTTTCCGTTTGCCTTCTCTCTTCTCTGTTTTTAGTTTACTCTTTTAATTTCTTGTTTGCTTTTACTTATTACAATTTACTTAGGATCCCCGCCAAAAAGCTAATTCAAATTCAAAGTTGCCTTCGTCGCTGCCTTTGCATAAATTTTGCTTTTGGCTTTTGGCTGAGGGCGTGTACCGCCCCGCGCCCGCCTGTCCTGATGATGTGATTGTGAAATTGAATTTTTAGTATCCGCTTGTGCAAGCAGGAGTTCTGTAGTTATTCATAAGCATTTGTAGCCTCTCTCTCTACCAGCGACAAGAAGTTTCAAGAGTGTAGCCGACCTTGGTTCGGGATTGCAGCAGCCAGCAGGATCTTTGGGAATAAGTTTTCAATTTAACAAGAAACTAATGATGAAGAGAGGGAGGCAGCAAGAGATTGCCTTGAAAGCACTTAAATAACCAGTCGAACACAAGCTACTTGCAGCTTGAACTTTCATTTATGTCGGTGATTATGCAAATCCCAATCGATTTGCCGGCAGGAATCATCTGCCTCTCTTGAGTAGAACATCCCGAATATGCACCAACATGTGCTCTAAGTCCTATTCGAATCCTGTACATCAACAGGCCATTTCTCGTGTTTGTGGTGGGAGCAGATGGCCTTAAGGATGCCGACGGCACAAGCATAAGCTGACTTGGGGAGTGTGGAACAATTTAATAAAGTGAACGGACGATTTGTGGCTAACACCCCACGACCACGACCACAGCGGCGTGGAGGCAGGTGGGGAAGGGGGTGTGGAATATCTTTAGAATGAAGGCGACAGGAAATGCACGAACTGAGCGGAAACAGAGCGTAGGAAATGCCACGACGACAACGACAACGATGACGACGACGATGCCTGGGCGGCAAGTGGAAAACTTTCGTGTTTACCCCCTTAAAGCATCTATCACGTTCGGTTCCTGTGTATACATATAGGTAGTGGATATCTGTGTATGTCTCTGTCTATGTGTGTGTGTGTGTGTATATCTGTGGTCTGGTGGCATGCAAATGCAGTGAGACAGGCGACGAGGCAGCCTGGCAAAGCCATTCACACCCCACCAAACGGACATTTGATGCACTTGAAAGCCTTTTGCTGCTACTGCTGCTGCTGCTGCTCTTGGTCCTGTGCTGAATATGCACCAACAAGTCAGCTGTCAGAGAGGAGGAGGCTGGGGGGGCTTAGAGTGGGATCCGACAAGCAAACACGCCCACCAGCCATACTGAGAGTGGGCGAACGAGAACTCTGGGTGAATGAAAGCCCCCAAGGTGGGCGGGGTAGAGATGAGCAAGGCATAGAGAAATCCGCGTGGGTGGACTCGACTCAATGGAGGGGGGGCAGGATTCAGGTAAAGTGTAGAGAAGAAACATGGTAACAGGGAAAATTATGCAAATCAAATTATATGATGACAATGTTAAGGCCGCTGGCGAACAAGGCCAGCCCGTGAGTGACTCTGACAGGCGGCTGTGATAAGGCAGGAGACAGGAGCAGACGTGCTTCTAGTTGTTGACTTAGTGCTTCTCTTCCTCCGGCTGCTGCTCCTCTTCCTGCTGGCAGAAAGCCCAGTCTTACGTCAATAATGTGAAAAGGAAATGTGTCAAAGGCAGGATGGTGACTGGTACTGCGGCTGGTACCGGGTACTGGGCACTGGGACACCGGAGATGGAGTGCGCACAAGGGCAACGCAATCAGAGCCAGAATCAGCTTGTGGAAATCGATAAAAATCCATTTCCAGGCAACTAGCGGAGGTGGAGGTGGAGGTGAAGGTGGAGCTGAAGCTGAAGCCCCGCCACCGCTCATCGATGACGAGTGCAATCAATTACAAGATTTCCCACATGGCCGCCCAACGAACAGTTCTCACTTTTCGATTCCCAGCTTACCATCATGTCCTCGGGTATGTAGAAATCGGATACGGCGGCCGCCAAATAGAGCACGGCACGTTCCTCGAACGCAGCCAGGCACTCGCAGGCGGCCCTCAACAGCCACATGTAGTCGACGACGCTGGTGAAGTTCACATACAAAATCATTTGGGTCTCCCGAGCAATCTTGTATTTGGCCAGCACCGGCGCGAACACATCCACCGAGTCCGGCTTGATGGCTATCGTTGAGCTCTGGCTGTTGTCCGCTATGTCCAGCATATCGAAGAACTGCTGCCCCGTGAAGTGGCGCGTAAACGGCTCCAGCGATTTGTGGCGATGCATAAAGATGACGGCATAGTCATGGTCCAGAAAGTACTCCGCCGAGGCAGAGCCTCTGGTGCCGGCACTAAAGTTATCCACAAATCGAACCGTATTGTGCTCCAAAGGTACTGTAGTTCCACCAGACTGAAATGGAGAAAGATAAAACAGATTCGGGTTTAATTTTGGTTAATGATTTGCTTTAAGGCAGCAGTCGGCACGGACTTATCTATTGTGCATAGGAAAAGTCGCATTTGCACAACGGCACTGCAAAACATGTGAATGTGTGCGTGCCGACCACTGCTTTAAGGCATTTAAAGAGCTACTTTTAGGTGCAGTCGAAAATCTAATGAAAAATAGCTTCAGTTGACGGTAAAAGGACTGCTCTAAGCTACACTGGAGGCCCAACCAAGAGAGATTTTACCCCAAGTAAGAAGTAAGGACTCCACTCGACAGATTTCACTGTATTTATATCTTTAAAGCTCTTTTTTGTACGGCAAACTCTTTCTTTTCTATCACATTTAATATATATATACGAGCTCGTATGTTGCTCTTGTCAGAAATCCAATATCTGTCATATTCAATATTCATCTTTTGGTTAAGCTGAAAGAAACCTTTCATCCTTTCAAACCCGCATTAGAAAAGCTTAGCCGTTGCTGTTGCCAACCCAGAGGTCATGTCGGGGGCTTAACCCCCACTAATTAATGGTGACTTGGCTGACTGGCGGGTGAGTGGGGGGCCTGGGGGCCTGGGGCCACTTACCGTGACGAGGACAATGCGATTTTGGATCTTGTTGTGGCGCTCGCAGAACTCTTTCAGCAGCGAGCGATTGTCCTCAAAGTCTGCGGGCGGCAGATGTGTGTTGTAGAAGTCCTCCCAGTGCGTCATTTTTTTTTTTTTTTGTTTGCTTCCCCCTCTGCTTCTACGTCAATTTTATCCCCTGTTAATTGGCCGCGATTGGTGGCGGGCACGGAAGGAAGCGCACGGAAAAACGGGAAGCTCGAAAAATAACGGACAATTTTCAGCCGGAAACTATGCAATGTTGTCCGCTTTTAATTAATAAACAGTGTCACGTCGCGTGTCGTCGCGTCTAGGGGGGGAGGGGCAACAAGCGGCAACTTTTGGACGAAACGAACTTTGATTGAAACTTAAAATTAATTAGATTCGCTTAAAGCCGCGCAAATAATTTAATTCCAGCACACACACTGCACGCTCTTGTACTATTTTAATTGATTAATTTGCACTTTAAACGGCTGGCGAAGAGAGGGGCGGCTACGGCTACGGCGACGGCGACACGTTGGGGCATGGCATTCACTGGCTTTCTTATCAATGAAATTTGTTGGACAGGCAATGGCAATGCGCGCAATGCAAAGACGAACGAAAAGCTTCACTCCGGCTAACAAGCTGACGCTGCGCTGCGCTGTGTGTTGCTGTTGTTTCCTTGTCCGCGGCCCGAGAAAGATTGTGGCGACAAGGACGACGCGGCGAGTTCTGTGAGAATCGGAGAACGGCGAACGAGGACGAACAGGACGATGCGGACACGCGCACTTAAACTCGGCACAAGCCCGGAGTGTATGTTTTTCGTATTCGTTGGCCAGTCCCGAAGACTTTAATCAGGTTCAAAGTGCAAAAAAACCAGCCAAACAGCTGATGCCACCAGTGCTGTGCAGGTCTCGAACGAGCGCATGGTGTCCGAACTAGTTCTCTAAATAATTCAAACTTGTTGCTTGCCTGAAATTGTTTAGCTGCCCTGGCACACTTTTTATTCAATCAAGCATTTAAATTAAATGCAAATTATATTATTTTCATAAGAATTATGTGCGAGGCAATATATTGCATCTCAAGTTTCAGTTCTTTGAACTAGTTCTCTGCAATGAAGTTGGCTGCGCAGCGCAGTGCTGGTGAACACATTTTAGCGCGCCCCGCTTGAATTCAAACTAAAACTACAACTGAACATTTGGTTTACATTCGTTTGAGTGCAATAGCTAGACAGCATTCAAATCGTTGGTTTATTACGAAATACAAATAGTACAAGTTACAAAAGTACAAAAGAATCTCTATAACAATATCACAAGTAACTTACAAGCTAATTGGCTTTGTCAACTACGCGCTACAGAAGAGTGCAAGGCCAAAGCGGTGACCTTTGGTACTGGCGATTAGAGTGGAGTGGAGTGTAATGTTCGATGTGGTTAATTGGGGAAGTGGAATGCATTTCAAAACGCGCTCTCAGACAGGTGAATGTGAATGGAAACGTACCGCGTGTATGTATGTATGTATGTATGTTTGTTTGTGTGCGAGCGTAAATTTATGGCATTCATTAGACAATTTCGCTCACTTGGATGCATTTTCGCAGGCCTGTGCTGCCAGTGCACACATTCTAAATTGAACTTAAGTCTACTTGAATGTCTCTCAGCCCACACACCACACCACACCACATCACATCACACCACAAAAACAGAAAACAGAAAACAGAAAAGAAAAACAGAAAAACAAGAACCCAGATCGGGGTAGACGGACTACGCACGCGTCGTAGCCGGCGTTGTGGTCGGTGCATACACATGATAATCAACATCGTCGATGCCGTCGCCCTCCTCCTCCAGGTCGCGATTCACCAGTCGCTCCCGCATGCCGTAGCGTTGCCTATGGGGCGGGGCAGACAAATTAGAAATTAGCATGTTCCCAGAATTAGTATAATTATGACTTACTCCAGATGTGAACGCCATATGACCAGGCCGGCGTACAGACACACCGACACCAAGGCCAAGACCACGGCTATGATGCCCAGCAGCATGTGACTCTCGCTGATGGCATCCGCCTCTATGTCTACGGGCTGCATCTCAATGTTCTCCGCCGTGAATGTCTCTGTGTCTGTGGCACGGACTCCTTGACCCGTAAAGCGTTCCTCCAGCTCCGAGCTGCGACTTTCCTCCACGCTCTCCTCTGCATCGCCCGACTCTAGAATCTCCACGTCGTACTTGTAGTTCCGAGCCAACACCAGATTGGTGGCCGAATTCAGCTGATCCTCATCGCGATGTGGATAGGAATTCGGCGTCAACTCCGACGAGCCCGACGAACCCGACGTGTTCGCATCCGAGTCGACATTCTGCAACGGAAATACAAATTATTGAAATGTCAGGAACAGGCCACAGGGACAGCCGCTTAAAGTTAGTCACAAGGGAAACCGTTAACGGAGTTATGTATGCACAGCCCCGTCATCAGGCATTGTGCATCGGGCACTGGTTGGGTTGGGGGCATTCAACAAATAAACGAGCGGCCCCATGTCATCGATGCGGCTCTTGTTGTCAGCTTTGCGTAATTGATTTTCAGGTGGCACGTGAGTCTATGCCAAGTTTCTAACTTTTCGAAATATCTGTGTGTGTGTGTTTGTGTGTGGGTGGGTCGTACTGGCCTAGCTGTGGAGGCGTGTACTCGCGCGTTTTTTTTGAGATCATCTCTTATAGAATTTGGCGCAATAGTTTGCCATATTTTAGCCAGGAAATCGGAGCTCTCGCTGACTCAGCAGCTACAAACCGTTCAAATGTTCAGGAAGCCAAGTTCTTTATGAGTTATTAATCATCGCGTAAGCCAACAACTCGTCAGAGCGCAAAATACCTAAGGGGTTGCGGTTTCCTCCGCAAGTGATAAGGTTCCAGAATTTGCTGTGTTTTTAGCTTACAATTTTTGGGCGGCTGTAATCACTTAAACAGTAGATAATTCTTGCTATCAGTGAGGTCACATAAAGTTTATGAGATATGTGGATATCTGTGGAGTCCCTCAAAGCCTACAAGCTGCTGCTGAACTCTGATCCCTCTCGATCGGTAATAAATTAGTTTGTAGTGCTCTCCTAATCACGCTGTAACTATTTGTTATACAACTAATTGTAACTATGTAAATGCCAGGCCACAGATCTGTCTGTCTGCCACTCGAAACAGCGCCACAGATTGCTGGCCTTGTGGGCCAAGGGGGTCGCCAGCTGAACTCTGTAATTGGCAGTCATAATATTTTACAACTACGTGACTTGCCTCTGTCCCAGGTACAGGCACAGGGATCAGAGATTATCTGCATCTCGTTTCTGTGTAATTGTCAGATTTGTTTACAGCTAACGAGCAGCCTGACAATGGGCCATAATAATAATTATAATAAAAGGTGGCCAGCACGAGCCCTGAGATGCGAGATCAGCGATCTCAAGATCCGTAATCTGATCAAAATGCGGCAACTGGGGAACACCCCTGGAGGCTGGTAGCTGCGGGGGGAAAGCGGCAGCCAAACGTCACACTTTGAGGAATTACCTAGAACTTCGATGGGGTATTGTGGGGCTCTGACTCATCCCAACTGGCTTATTGCGAGTTTCAAGGGAGTTACTTTTGGTTGGTTGTCAATCGTTGAATTTGAGGCAGTCCAGTTTGATGAAATTTCGTGACTAAGCCGCTGAAAAGCCCCCCCACCCCATCAGCATTTTGTGGACAGAGCCGCGGGTTTCTTTAATTTTATGCAAATGTTGTTGGCCACTGAAAGTTTCATTGCTTCTGAGGCCCCAACGACAATACTTTCAGTCTTTGCTGTCCATGGACATGGGAATGGACATGGGAATGGGAATGGAAATGGAGGAGCCTTAAAAGGCAATCGCCGCGCGTGTCTGGTTGCGGTTGGTTTTGCATTTAATCAAAGTGAAAATAAATAAACAGTTTTGTTAAGAGCGCAAATTTCCGGTTCTGTATAAAAATAAACCAAGAAATGCAGCTCAGGCAACCAGGGGGGACAGAACCCGATTCGACTGTCGGATCGTATTTCATTGGCTTGGGGTCGTTACTTAATGCCTCAGTGCGTCAGTCATGTCAGCTCAGGGTTCGGTGCGGCTCTGCGGCTTTGTCTTGCTGTTCCTTGCTGGCCCAGTTACCCAACTCCACAGGGCCAACATCAGGCGCGGGGGGCTCTCTGACTGCCCACTTAACTTACCTCCTCGCCAGCAACTCTGACAGATGTTTTATTTCTGGTTGCCGATCCACTCAAATCACTGAGCTCCGAGTCAGCGCTGGCCGGATCCTGCGACGGTTTGGCATGGGCTAAAAGAGAAAGCAATTAAGCAGAAAACAGATAATGAGTTACCGTGAATTATCGGAGCATGCGTATTTGGTTACAGCTTATCAAAAGCTGCCTGCTGCTGTTTGTCTTTTGCCTGCTAAAGACTCTGCCCAGGCAATTCAGAGAAGCTCAAATATTTGGCCAAAGATTTCGCCACTAGCACCTTTTGGGCTGGGCCCATAAAAATCCAACCATACTAAGCTAAAGAGACCCAGACTAAAGGAATTATTTTGTGGCCCGGGGTTTATCAGTTGACAGGAATTTTTGGCTACGCTTTTTGGCAAACAAAACGAAAGCGTGTTGGGGCTAAAAAAAAAACCGGCATGTTGATAGACAAACATATACATATCATGCATATACATGTATGTATTTGTATAAACTGATAGGTATGCTTGCTTGTATGGCAAACCAGTCTGTTGTATGTATATACTATATAGCACAAACAATACAACACATTTCTAATGCCAGTAACGAGCTCATTCCTTCCAATGCCGTTTCGATGGCACGCAAAAAAAAACAATTTTTAATTTCGTAAAAGTTCCATTTCGGCCGATATCTGACAAGTCTTGCATTGCATTTGGCATTCATAAGTCGCCCAGATTTAATTTCGCGACTGCTACGTGACGACAATGGTGGAGGCCTCCTCCTCCCTCCCAGGTGGGTAACTTGATCCATTGATCCACTTTTTGACATCTGTCAAAGTGTTAAAGCTGTGTAGGAATCAGTTTGCTTATCAGAAAATCCCCTGCTGACTGGTGTGCATATATATATATATATATCTGTGTACCAATCATGTAATCACTTAATGTGCAAGTGCTGGCGAAATCTTATCGGCCCGGATGGATATTTTTTGCCAATCAACTGGAGTCCCCTGGCAATAAAACCTCGCCTTGCCCCCCTCGCTATCACTCTTTTCTTTTGCGACTTGCAGCTAGTTGGGGGACCTTGATGGCTGCTGCATCTGCAGGCGGTCCAGTTCCCCCCCATCCCCACTCGCCATTATAAAAACTGATATTTATGTGCTGCAAGCCAGGCTTACGGGCCCACGAACCGGACCACAGCCAAGGCACTTAGCGGCAGACACTTAAGGCAAAAGGGTAAACTGTAAAACTGAAAACTGTCTATCCAAGTGGTCGCTGCGACTCCTCCAGCTGCGCGCCAAACTAGTTTCCAGGTAATGGGCTCTCTCTCCTACTCGTCGTACTCGTACTCGCACACGTACAAGAATCAATATTGAGACGCTGCGTGTTTGCTCTGCGGACTTGCCTATCTAGCTATCCACCTATCTATGTATCTATGTATCTTTGTCATTGGTTGGGTTGGCTGTTCTGTTGGTACTTACAGCAATCTGCCAGCAGCAGCACCACCAGCAGAAGCAGGCTGCAGAACGTTAAACTTTTGCCGTCAAGCATTGCTTTGTTCTATCTGCCGTAATGGAGATACTTCTTTAATCAATAACTTTTCTTATCACTCGCACAAATTACGCGCCACTCGATCGTTGGATATTTTGGCCAGATGAATAAGCGTTTGTGGTTGTTGGGGTTTTTCGTTGCCCCTACTTAACACTTGTGAATATTGTTTTCAAGGCGGCGAGCGTTGTGTGTGTTCTGAGCGTTAGTTCGCGGCCAGCGTTTCGAAGCGAATCAAACGGAGCGAAAACGATCCACAGCGCCAAAGTTTTCCCCAACCGTCAAAGCTCTGGCGAAGGCGACTGAGTCATCCAGTGCGATACCATCGGCAGGCAACGATCTGGAAACGATGCATCGTCGCAAACAGGTTCTGGTTCCACGAGCGAAGTAGTTCCAGCTGGCGTATAAAGAAAAAAAGCGGTTAAGTTTAAACAATTAACAGTGCGGGGCAATTACTTACTAAAATATAAAATTTAATAGGTTTTAGGCGGCGAGAAAAACTCTGGGTTCCTTTAGTTTGCAGGATTAAGATGGTATGGCTTCAACACCGCTAAATAATAATAAAGGCGAAAGATATTTGCATCCTATTGGTTCATGTAGGGATTGTAAGAGAGCCTCCCATACAACATTTTAAATATCACAAACACAAAAGAATCTTAAAAGTCTTAGCTATTCTCCATAATATACAACTTAGCAGTACAAAAGGTAAGACCTCTGCTCGCAGTACAATAATTAAATTCAATGCCTGAAATTAAGTAAATTCAATCGTTTACTTAACATATTTTATGCTTTATTTTCTAGACTTTCCAAGTGGCGTTCGTAAAGCGTGCAGCGCGATTGCCAGTGTATTTACAAATAGGGGGAAGGGTCGGAACGGGCCTTAAGATACGATACCTAACAAACTCTAAACTCAACAATTTGTCTTAACAGTCACTAATCAATAAATGTATGCCTGATGCATAAATCGCCTACAATGTTTCGCTTTGGGCCAGACACAGGCGATGGCACGGCGATCCCGCCTGGCCACGCCACGCACCGATCACGGCGCCAAGCTCCTGCCACTCACCTACATATACAGCTTACATGGTAGGTAAAAATATAACAACACATATATGTGTGATGAGTGGCGGGTATGGGCGGCCGGTGAGGGGCGTAGCCGGCGGCTAACCACCGAACGTGAACGTGAACGTCGTTGGGTGTGTCACGCTGGGCCAGCAGACTGCTGGATCACAGATGGCCATGAAACCGACCAGCAGCTCCAGGCCAACGGGACGCACTCGACTAGTAGATGACAAAACTTTCAAAGCAATCAAAAGCGAAAATTTTGTACAAATGTTGGGGAGTCCTTTGGGTCGAGTTCGTGGAAAGTTTCCGTGGGTGTGGGTCAGGGTCTGATCTGGTTAATGAGAAACTTAAAACTTATAAGTGGTCTATTGCGAGGGGGGGGGGGGGCGCGCGGCTAAACGAATTGTTCCGTGCTATTAGCGGAAATCTCCAAGAGTCGCCAGGCCGCCTTGGGGTTGAGTTCTTCGCGATCGCGGCAGAGCACCCACACGTAGGCCACTCGCATCACCTTCTCGGGATCGCCTTCGACAACCTTGCCCTTCTGGTCCCTCACGCACATGATCTGCTGCGCCTGGAACGTGATAATCAGCACGGGTCCCTGATCCATGACCTTGCCCATGACCAGGTCAATGTTCTCAATGTCCAGGATCTTGGAGTCCAGATAATGGCCAGTCTTTTTCGCCTGCGTTATGGGCGTTGCAATGATGTTGTAGGTGCTCTCGAAGCACCAGTCCTTCAGTATCTCCAGATCGCCGCGGACAATCGCCTCCAGAACGTTGGGAATGATGTCAGTTTCACAATCATGCAGAAACTCCTTCTGGTCGAAGTTGGGATCGATCTTCACCAGCTCGGTCATCGTCTCCGATAGCTCCGTTTTGGAAAAGAGACCACCCATCACGTCCGAGACTTTTTCGGTGAGCAGGCGGGAGGCACGGATCATGGGATTCTCCGACTCCTCGTACTTCACCTTCCAGTCGAGCACTTTGTTCACATAGGCGTTGTTGTTCTTAAAGTTCTCCCACGACTGGCTAAACTTCGAGTCCTTGTGCAGCTCCACGCCTGAAAGGAACACACCGCTCAATGCATGTTTTCGGTGCATGATCCGTGGATGCACTCACCTGTGTCCTCTGTATTCGGCTCAAAAGTACGAGTGCTATCGGCCATGTCCACTTGAACGCGCTTTCGCAGCTTCGCTGGTGGCCGATACACACGATTGTCTATGCTCGTCAGGTCCATCTCTTTCTTGATGATGCGCGTCGTGTCGGAGATGGCTTGGAAGGCACCCGACTGGCCCAGCTTGCCGCTGGTATCCGAGATCGTATCGCTGACGCCCTTGGCCTTCTTGGACAGTTCCTCGGAGACCTTTTTGGCCAGGTCCGACTTGGAGGCGTCATCGAGTACGTCGCCCATCTTATCCTTGAAGGCGTCCAGCTGTTCCTTCAGCTTGCTCGACGACTTTTGCGCCTCCGACTCGACAATGTTGAACTTTTGCCGCGCCGACTTCAGAGCATCGGACTCTTCCAGTTTCTGTGCCTCCTCCCGGAACTTGCGGATGTTGTCCTTGATCTCCTTGCTCTTGTCCATCTCGCTGCGCACATTGTCGATTAGTTGCGAGAAGAAGCCGGTCTTGCGTCCAGGCGCGCTATAAAATCGAGGCTGCGCGGGGGCAATAGTGTCCGTGTATGAATGTAATCAAACTAATGTGCAACCAAGAGCTTACCTGCGGCTGTTGCAGGTTCTGCGTCGCCTGTTGCCACGTGAAGAAGGAGGCACGTTCCCGCGCAATGGCCGCAAATCTGTACTGTAAGGAGAAGTTAAGTTCACGTTAATCAATTCGCCCACTTTAACCTCGAAATGGTCACATGTAAGGCGGCCAATTTGTGTGCCGCTGCGTCCGCCGATAATGTATGAACCTACCATGGTGACGGGTTTGGTTGCTACAAGGATATTTCGCAGGTTATTCGATCAGTGATGACGGCCGGGCAATATCGCGTCAGAAGCTACAAATTTATGTAATTCTATCAATCTACCTATCCACGCAGCCAGTCAGCTGTTTGGGGCGTGCAGGGCTGGCGAGCGACTTCAGGGCTGGGCAACGCGTGCAGTGGGCGCGCAGTTCGAAATACAGTGTGCTGCCCTACAAACTTTAATATCTAGTGAAATGTTCTGTCCTGTTCGTGTCCTTTTGACTAGTCTTTCCCTGCCTATGCTTTCTTTTTACAATATTGCTTGCTACATTTTTTTTCGAATGCCTGGTAACCCCAGCCAGATAACTAGCTAGAACCGTTACTTGGGGAACATCGCCATCTCCATTTTTGTCAATGCTTTTGTAGCTGGCGCCAGTAGTCTTCGGGATCAAAGCAAAAAAAAAAAATTGTTTAGTCGCGCAAAATTTGACGCCGCGCAAAACTGAGTTGTTGTTTTTGTACAAATAATTGTTTTAAGTGAAGAAGTAAAGCGAATACTTCAAAAAATTAGGCTTTACTCGGTTTTCGTGAGTGTGAGGTTTGGTGCGCGCAATTACGGTAAACACTTGGACTTTGTCATGTTTCGCAGCAGCCTGGAAGGCAACGCCAACAGCAACGCCGCCTCAAACGTAAGTTCCCACGGACGCCATTATCTGTCGCCGCTCTCCGTTATGGCCCTTCTGTTCTTCTGTTCTGCCTACCATTGCAGGACAACTATGCGGCGTTTCATAGCAGGGGCGGCCTCAACCTGCTGGGCCTCCAAGACCTCTACTTGGACACGGCATCCACGCTAGGTTCTGCCAGCTCCAGCCTGCCGCCGACGCCCAGCGTCTCGTCGGGCACACTGAGTCCGCCCAGCACGCCCCTGACCCCGGAACCCACGCAATTCGGTTCCCAGACTCAGTTCCCGCTGCTGACGGACAATGGCAACATGAACATGGGCATCCACACCGGCAACAACATGCTGCTGCATCAGCATTACCAATACCACCTGATCATCCAGAAGCAGCAGCAGCAGTTGGCGCTGGCCAACCATCAGTTGGCGCTGGCCGCATCCGCGGCTGCCGCTGGCGTCAATCATCAGCAAAAGGATGAGATAGCGCGCTCCCTGAAGGTATTTGCTCAGCTGACAAGCGGACCGGCAGGTGAGTGGGAGCAGGAGAGAAGATCGCATTACGAAGGAAGTGGGAGAAATAGAGCAAATGAGAGAAGATGCAGTACAGTTATCAAGTTTTCGGGTCACTGACCGTGCACAGAGCACTTGTGTGCAGCGAAGAAATGCGCTTTTTCCAACACTTGCAAGTGGATCAAAACAGACGCGAAGAGCCGCCATTTTACCGAATCTTGCACAAATTCAGTTTCTAATGCACTATTACATCAAATTTCGCAGACAATGTGTCCGGCTCTATGCAGGATGTTATGCAGGAGTTTGCGAGCAACGGATACGTGAGCGATGATCTCAATTGCTTTGCCTACAGTCCGGCCCCTACGCCGGCAAATCACCTACACCGCAATTTGGCCGCAGCCGGAGGACAACCCAATCCACCGCAGCAGGTTGTGCCCGCACCAGCCCCACTGTCCGCACGCTGGCTCCACAACTATCGCGAGCAGCTGAACAATGTGTGGCGCTCCATGGCCTACATGCCCTGCATTGGGCCAACCAATGTGGGACTGCAGGCCCAGGCCCAGGCGCAGGCACAGGCAGCAGCTGTCGCCGCCAGTGGCGTCGGACCAAACAATCTGAGCGCCATGGGATTGGGGCTGCCCTTGCAGCCGGATCATTTCCGACATGGCAACAATCCAAGTAACAACAACAGCAACAAGATGAATAAGCGCTACAAGCCCAACCAGGTAACAACTCGAAGAGTTCGAATGGCCGTTGCAAGTTATAATGAGGGTATTTTCTCCCCGTGTGTAGATCAGCCGCCACTGCGTGTTCTGTGAGAACAACAACGAACCGGAGGCGGTGGTCAACAGTCACTCGGTGCGCGACAATTTGAATCGCGTACTGTGCCCCAAGCTGCGCACCTATGTGTGCCCAATATGCGGGGCATCGGGCGACTCGGCGCACACCATCAAATACTGCCCGAAGAAGCCGATCATAACCATGGAAGATGCCATCAAGGCGGAGTCATTCCGCCTGGCAAAGAGCAGCTACTACAAGCAGCAGATGAAGGTTTAGAATAGGTCTAGCCGAACCACACACGGAAACTCTGGCAGTTTCAACTGCGCGTATATAGCTTGATATATATGCGATTTCGGTTCCTGTGCTGGATACTAGAAGATATTAGCGCCTGGCGCGTTCGATTTTATAGTTTCTCAAACTAGTCTGCGACTAAGAGTAGTCGTCAGTGACTGATCACTCAAATCAAATCACATCAATAATTTTTTCATAAATCTAAACTCTTTTTTTTTTATCATAAATCAATGTTTCCAAGAACCAAATAATTATTTAAGGAATACTCACAAGATCGTTATAATTGCCAAATCGTGGTTGCCAATGGAAACATTTCACAATATGAAACTTGAACAGAATTGGTCCACGAAATTTTGGCAACATTATCACAAATGTTGTGCCGCAAGAGGCATAAATATTTATCACTAGAGTTGAGTAGAGGACTTTGAATTTCGATATGGCAATCGTATTAGAATATATGTATAATATCAAAATTTGCCAACGTAACAAGAAACGAACGATATCGTTGGCAACAATTTCATTGAAACTTTTTAAAATTTGACACTAAATAGTTGATAGACAAAAATTTTATTACATGTATCGCAAATACATAAATCACACAACACAAACACACATATCTGCGAGTATATAAATGTTATATATATTTATTCAATCATGTTCCTTCATTCGTTCGAATCATTTATCAAATATCATTACTATAAATTTTCCATTTTTTTTATATAAATGTTCACCTTATATCGATTTCGCTCACATGTCACTCAATATTCGAATTGAAAATTGTGAGACTACCATTTTATATCCTTTTTTAAATTTTTTTAATAAATGTACATTCATTTGCCATTACGTTAATCGAAATTCGAATGGTTCGTAATGTAAATACATCATTGTAAACCGATAAACCCAATGGCGGATCATGTATTTAACCATAAATTCAAAATCGAATTCTTTTTCCAAATTTTTTTTATAAAAATGTATACAAATGAAGTTGAAAATGTAATGCAATCGCAAAATATGTCAAATAAAGTTATAAATCAACAAGTTATGCCTTCCGTGTGCTTATTTTATCTGCTAATCGTCGTCGCCGTCGCGCTTTTTCTCGAACAGCGCCAGGAAGATGCCGTCGGTGAGGTCGCTGTCGGGCAGGCAGTACAAACAGTTCTTGCCAATTTTGGCGTACTCCTTGTCGCCCACGTTCTGCCACTTGTTGCGCAGCGCCTTCTTGCAGCTGAGCATCTTGAAGGAGGGATTCAGCTGCAGGCAGCGCTGCACCACCTGCTCGTTCTCCTCCTTCCAGAGCGAGCACGTGCAGTAGGCGATTCGCTTGACGTTGGGAAAGGCGCTCATCGCATGCGACAGGATCTTGATCTGCAGCCCAGCTAGTTTGTAGAGACGCTTGTCGTCTTTCTGCTCGTCGCAGACGCTGATGCGGCTCTGCATGCCATTGCCCGAGCAGCTGGGATCCACCAGGATGTACTCCACATCCGGACAGCCGGTTGCATCTACAGACGTACCGGAAATTTTTTGGAGGATAATCAATTTTGTTTGTTTTATCGAACTCACCCATGGTCAGGGCATCGCCCAGAATGGGCGTCACAATCTCACATCCCGCCTCATTGGTAATGTCGCACAAGGCCCTGTACCGTTCCTGAGACTGTTCCACGGCATAGATGCGTCCCTTGTTCTGCATCACATTGCACATGTGCAGCGTTTTCATGCCTGGCGCGGCGCATAGATCCAGTACGGTGGAACCCATTGGCGGTGCCAAGAGCTCGGCAGCCAGGCTGGTTGCCTTGTTCTGCAGTATGAACTTCTTGCTGTGAACAAAGTCGTGGCCGGCCCAGTAGTGCGCCCATTTGTGATGGAATATCAGAACGCCCTCGACGTGCAGGTCCGTCATAAACTCATCCTCTTCCATGGCCCGGATGGCAGTCAGAAAGTCCGCATAGGTTGCCTCGGCTGGCAGTTCCTTGCGCCGCCATTCCTCGCTGGCCAGATACTCCAAGGCCTCGGCAATGCTGAGCAGATTCGTATTGACTCGGACATAGCGCGGATTGGGCTCTGTGTGGCGATACAAATGAAAGAGACGCGGACGCGTTTAAAAGTGTGTTAAATGTACTTTTATTTTAGTTGATTCAACACTAATTTACTGGCCCTTCTTCTGCTCAGCTTCTTTCTGCTCGATTTCCTCCAATGTGGGCGCATCCTTCTCGCGGAATGCCTTCAGCACGTACAGAGCCACCACAGCGTTGACCACCAGGACGGCGGTCAGCACGGAATAGCAGTTGACCTCGAAGACGCTCAGCGCGGGATAGGATTCTTGCAGCCAGCTCTGCACACCATAAAAGCCCAGGAAGGGCAGCGTGAACATGAGAAAGCTATAGACCAAGAGCCAGAGGAACACGACCAAGCTTCGATCCACCGACTGCTGGCGGGGACGCTCAACAATTTGTTCATCAACATCAGCCGCTGGAACGGGCTCAGCGGCCACTGCGGCACTGCGGTTTCTTGCTTCTTGTTATTTTTGCCCATTGTGCTGCTTTCAGCCGGCTAATACTGTTACTAATGCGTCAATGTGGGAACACCTGCCTTTCTTCTGGATGCCTGACCCACTTATGGCCTTCTCCAATCGTTCCTTGTACTCGCGCACCGTTTGCACCGGCTTGCTGTCGCCGTTCAGTTGTCCCCGTCCGAATATAAGCTCCGTCACCAGCACCTTGGCCAGGGCCGAGTCGAGATTGGGATTGTCCTTCAGCAGGCTCGTCTCCTCAATGGCGTTGTCCACGGCACCCCGATTGTCGCTATAATGCTTTAGCACAGCCTGCAGACTGCGAACGCGCTGTGGAGTGGGATTGGAAAATGTGATTTGATCGCCCGTCTATTTGGCTGTGACGCGCCAGGCTTACTGCATGCTTTTCCTCGAATATTAGAGATTTGATTGACTTTTGCTTTTCCAGGGCAACTTTTAATATTTTGGCTGTGGCCTTATATTGGGTGGGAACTTTTACGGAATGCGTGAATTTACTCATAGTTGTCACGTGTGCAGTGTGACCGCCAGCGTGACAGCGCCGATAACGATAACAAATACTATCCGGCCAAAAATAAATACCATTTAATACCATTTCAGTTTCGAGATATACCATTTAAATACCATACCATAAAAAAACCAGGGCAATCCGGCGATCAAACGAGACTTAACCCACTTAACACCCCTCTATTTAAATAGTTGCGCACCCTTTGTTAAAACGCGGGTAATTAAATCTGATTGCAAAGGCTCCTTGTAGCTCCATCCTCCTCTTTACTTACAAAACAAAAATGACCACCGACATCTTACACCTGAAATGCGTTAAAGTTACATAAATATTGTGGAAATATTAAACACCCCGCTGGTCGACAATGTGATAACGTTCTATTTTATTGATTGAAATCGTATTCCATGATTTTGATATTCAGCTTAATATTACTAGCTAGTTAGCCCTCTCAGCTATAAAAAAATAGTTTTATTCCTTTTTATTCCATTGTTTACATAAAAAGGTTCAAACAAAAACGGCCATTGTTGCTGGTCAACCAAGTCACCACGAAAACGCTCTCTTCACCTCGGAAAAGAGAGCAAATTGCAAATTTTGAAAAACCACCACGATTTGCGAGCCAAAAATTTCAGTAATTTTTGTGGTCTAAATGGAGTTTGGCGGTCATTTTGAAAAGTATATTATGGATTAAATAATATATCGTAAATATACTGAAGGACACGAAGGAGATGCTAGAGCTCCCGATGATTAAATTACACACTGAATTTGTTGTCAGTGTTTTGGTATACAATGTTATATAATTAAAAACTTTCTGAACATATACTTCAACGAAAATTTGTTTTAACAATGTGTTGGCTCTATTGGGTATGCATTGTGTGCATGGCTATGGCGTGGGCGGTCTATTACTTCGTAACGATGAAGGAACTTTGCTCGTTGACCAAGAGATTTAAACTAATAAATCGACTGCAAATACCCCTTAACCTTCTGGAGAATGAAATTAAACAAGTATTGAAGACACCCCGTGATGGTCTGCAACTGGAAATAGAGGAGCTAATTCAGATGACAGAAGCAATTGAACGCTTCACTCTTAAACTGGAATTTACACGCGAATTCATGTAACCATAATGTTTTGTTCTGAATATCGCACAAATAAAATGGGATGTATAAATAGGTAATGTTTAATTGAATGGGGAAGGTGTTTTCTGTTAATACTGTTTTATGGTTAGTGGTTAAGTGGGTTAAGTTCGTTTGTTTTCTTCGGTATATTACGGTATATTTTGGTATATTTCTGAGACAGGCGGGGTCTATTTTAATAATAAGACCGCGGTCACACTGATTGAACGTTAAAAAAATAAATTACAAAATTTATGGCAGCCAGTGTTAATAGTTGCTTGTAATAGCTGTAATAGTGCCAAAGTAAGTGTTCAAATGTACAATACAACAATATAAACATTACAAGCAAGGGTGCGCTGAATGCTATCGAAGCTAAATATCTACATGGAAAAGCCACTGCTGTAGGGATTATATCGTATGTATGAACATGCCTACCTATCTAGGTAATAGTTTTAGAGGCATTCCATTCCATCATATTGTTTAATAGCAGCAAACAGTTCCTCAAGGGACTCAAACGATGTGTGTAATTCCTTCTTTGTTTTATTTCACAACGACTAAAATGCGGTTTAAACATACATATGTATCGTTTAGCTTAGCTAATAAAATTCATGCGTTTCGTTTAAAATTAAGAGCATCATATTAATTAAACACATACAATAAGAAAAGAAAACTACTGGCTAATACAGGTTTAAATGTTTAAATGTAAACCCCAAAAATGGTTAACTAATTTCAGAATTTCACTATTGCATGCCCCCTTACGTGCTGTGCCTGCTGCTGCGGCTGCTCTCGGACGTGATTAAGTGCAGCTTGGTGGAAATGGGTCTCAATGAGGATGATGATGATGATGATGATTGGGATGGCAATGGCGATGATGATGTCGATGTCGAAGTCGATGAGTGCGCAAAGATTGTGCTTAAGCTTCCGCTTCCGGTGCTGCTGCTGGTGCTGCTGCTACTGGGAAAAACGGAGGCACTGGTACGGCTGAATGGGCACCGGATTGGAGTACTCCGTGACGGGCTGAGCACCAGGCCGAACAGGACTCTCTGTGGACTGGAACTCCTCCGGCAGCTCGCCGTGGAATGCACCAAACTGCGGCGTTGTCCGTATCAGCTGCTCCAGAGGCGTGAGCCCGTAGTGCGAGTGCCTCAAGAGGCCATTGTCCCGTGCATCCAGCTTGGGTGGCAGCACCAGGGAGCCATCCACCACGCTCTTGCCGTCGAAGGTGTACAGCGCCCCACTGGGCAGGCCGGCGTGGGGAATCTTTCGGTTGTCGGGCGGCAGGTAGTAGGTATCGATGCGCTCTGCTGCTGCTGCCAGCTTATCCTCCGGCTCCAGCTCCAGCTCATCCGCATAGATTTCCTCCTCCTGCGAGTCTGGCCCGAAGAGGCTGGCCATGCCATCGTCGAAGAGCTCGTGCTCTGCCTCTTGCTCCGGGATCGCTGGAACATTTGCCGGCGTGGTGCTCGACAAACCGACAGCTGTCGTTGATGGTTTCTTGGTTGGCAGAACCGGCTGCTCCTCCAGCTCCTCGTCATCGAGTTTCTCCTCCATTTGCTCGTCCAGATCATCAGCCTCACCGAACAGTTCACCCAACGTGGGCTTGCGCAGCTGGGCGGCCGAGGGCAGAGCATGCTCCACAGCTGCCGAGGGCAATCGAAGTGCCGATGCCTCATCTGCCACCTGGGCCTCTGGAACCGCTTTCTTCATCTGCATGGAGGCGTTGGTGCTGTCCAGGGGCGAGGGTATGAACATGGGCTCGAAGCTCTGCGTCTCGCTGCCTCCCTGCTGGGCGGCCAGGAAGAGTGTGTCCGTTTCCATGACCTCGTCGATCTCGGTGCCCGGATCCTCGCGCCGGTGGGCCACCTGCTCGATCAGCTCCGGCGGCAGTTGCACCCCACTGCCATCGGTGCGCATGATCGGCCGGAATCCACTCTCCACAATCACGGTATCGGGCTTGAATCCCTGATTGATGGCCGGACGCATATTGGCAATCTCCTGTGCCGAGGGCTCCTTCTGCAGGGGTCGCTTGACGATGCTGGTCGGGGTGGTGGTGCTGCTGCTTGGCACAGCGGTCGGTGCGGATTTCTGCTCCGGCTGCGAGTGGAGGTTGAAGTAGGCCGCGCTCTGCAGGGATCCCTGCGGCTCGTGGTCGTTGTAGGGCACTGGCACAGGGATGACTGGCTTTGGCTTCGGTTTCGGCTTGGAGCGTTCCCCGTGCTCTGCTTTACGCTGGCCGGCCAGCTCCGTGGGCTGGCCAAGCAGCAGCACCGAGGCGGCAATGGGCTGCAGGGGGAAGGGCTTCTCCTTGACGAATGGCTTCAGCAGACTGGGCACGGGCTTGCGATAGTGGTTGACAATCAGCGACGACTGCTGCAGAATGGCGGCCGGATGCGCGTGGGGATGCGGATGCTGTTGCGGCAGGATGGGCCTGGAGGCGGGCACCTTCTTGATGGGACCGGGATAGGGCCGTCGCCCGGGCAGCTTGACCGGATGGAAGAGCGGCGCATTCTGCGGCGGACGCAGATACTCGGACAGGCCGATCGTTTTCTGTGCGAGCGCTGGAAGGTTACTGGTTAGATTGTGATGCAGATGCAGTGGATGCGGATGCGGGTGCTGATGGGGGCTTATAATCGAGGGCGGGTGCGGGTGCGGGACATGCTGCGAAGGATGGTGCAGGCGGTGCAAGTGCAAATGAGAGTTGTGAATGAGATGTGGGCCAGTGGCAAAGATGGGAAGTTTCGACAACGATGAGGGGGATGCAGATGCCGATGCAGATGGCGATGCGGATGCAGATGCAGATGATTTATGAGAATGGGTTTCGCCGAGCAGTATCTCGGGCCGGACGGTGGCCAGTTGGGGTAATCGAGAGCCATTGACGGTTATCTGATGTGGATTGTTATCTTTAGGACGTATCGGCGGATGGGGACCCGAGCTCACTTCGTTCTGTTTGGGGTTGGGGTTTGGGCTTGCGTTTGCGTTGGCGTTTGGGTTGGGCCTCCTTAGAAGGCTCTCCTCGAGAGCCTCAGCAGCGCGGATGCCATCTGAAATCAGTTTGGTTATTTCCGAAGATTTCGTTATTTCAAAGCTCAGTTTAGGCGGCGTTCCGTTCATATTGTGGTTCTTAATCAAATCGGTTTGGTGCTTCAATAAAAAATTATCGTTGGGGCTGACCTGGGTTTCGTGTCGGATCGATGGCTCGGCGGCATAGTCCTCGTGGACGGGCGCTGGCTCCGCCGCAGCTCAAGCAGCGGGCAGACGAATTTCATGCTGCTCGGAGGCTGCCCCCTGGCCACCCACATCGCCAGCCTGCTCGCACGCGTCGTGCACGTGTATCTTCCAGCCCAGATAGCGATGGGTGAAGCAGTGATAGTACACGGTGTCCGGTGTGCTTCTATCCGGCTTCCAGCTGATCACGCCCGGCTCCCCGGCATCGCACTTGAGCGTGAGGGTGCGCTGGTAGGCCCCAAAGGACTGGTAATCATCTGCCGGCGGCCCCTCCACATCCGGTGTCCAGTTGCACAGGCGACCCACGCCCGTTGGCGTCACCTGACCCGATCGCGAGCGATGCACTCCAGCAAATATGCGAACAGCCTGCGAATGCGATTACCATCAGGGATCAGCGATCAGGGGATCAGGAATTGCTCTAGGGAAACTCTCTGGACTCACCTTCTTCTCCTCCTCGCGCTTGTGCTCGTAGCCACCGACGGGATCATCGCTGATGTAGAATGGATGATACTTGGCCGGTATGTCGGGATTGTTGCCACCCTCCACCACAAAGGTGTAGGTCTTGCCGCGCACCACATGGATCTCGGGTATCAGCAGGCCATTGATGTACCACGAAATGCCCCAGCCAACGTGGCCTAAGCCCAAGAGAGAGAGAGAGACAGAGATTTGGTATACAAATTAAAGCGA